TTTTCCTATTCTCGTCTGAAATGTACAATTTAGCGATTGGGATTAGGTACGGAAAGTACTGCGGAGTAGGGTGGTCCGGATGTCCGGGTGAGAAACCCTGTGATGATTTGGATTCTTGTTGCCAGATCCACGATGATTGTGTGGAGAAAAAAGGTATTTACTCTGCAGTCTACAGTATAACCATTATATATATAGATTACGTGATTAAATTGTCAGTTGAGGATGAAACTTGAAGGAACTTTAGAGTAAGTGGTTGATCAAGTATGATTATGTTGTTGAGTTGTTGTGTAGCCATTATATTGTCAACTTTGCTTCTGTCCCTAAGGAAAATGGATCTGGTATACTTTGCATCAAACATACTTCAAAATGTATGAGTTCTTGTAAAAACAGTATCCCATCTTGGGCTGGTTTAGTTCCGATACTCAAATTATTGTGGCCTCAAAAGTCAGTAAGACGTGTTGATGCTGCATATATTAATCAGAACGAGTAATACGAAACTTCTTGGAGCATTACATACGCATTATCCACCTTCACGAAGACTTCAATTGACCCATTAATGTAGACATGTACTCCTGAGCACATAGGTCTTGATTTTCTTAAAAATGGTTTTTAGGCCAACTTGTGGTAAGTGGATGAGTTTGTAATGTTTTTCCACCCATATTCACATGTGAATTTTGTATGGAAAGTTCAATATCCTATCATATTTAATTATTTGTATAATCATGTGGAAGAATTTAGCAAAAGTTACCATAAGTGAAATCTTGCTCTGAGGTCATTCAAAGGAGACAAGGACCTGTATTAATTTAATAGGTTTCAAATGACTCCCAGCATTCTGGTTGACATCCTCATTAGCAAAAGCATATAGGTTCTTTGCAGATTGTTAAAATCTAGCCAGCAAAAAGCTCGGGAGAAACATAAGAATGCTTTACCTTTCTCTTCAAATGCTCAGGAGCTGGCCATGGTATCTCGTAGGCCCCAGTACTCTAAGATGTGGATGACGGGGTGGGCAAGAAATAAATGGTGTGATTAGAAGAAAATAAGATCATTACTCTGCCAACATATAACATATACTCTTGGGAAGTTTAAATGAAGTAAATGGGTGGTTATATACTAAGTTAATCTTCTATTGGTTGGAAAAAACATATTGTTGGAGCAAGTATTCAAAGTTTATGGCCTTGTGAAACTATCTGGCCAAGTTTTGCCGCCGGAATCCGCACATGTAAGCCACACAATTCTGGCAAGCATTTCAAATTTGATAACACTGCATACATGGTAAGGATCCACCGTAATCTTCCATTTTCCACCCTGAAGGTGCTTATATAATAGAGAAAAGGGCAAATATATTCATCATGTTTTATGCTGTAGGCCCTCTGAGCTAAGATTTAAATGGATTATATTGGCCTTTATATGTTAATAGAAACTTCATATCTTGTGAATTTCATGCATCAAAGGAAGTATTGCTCTGGAAATTATAATAGTACGCTACCTAAAATGATTTTGGTCAACAGTTGATATATGTTGTTTTTAGGGTAATGGCCCATCACAATTCACAGGAGTCCAATTTGTGCAACTGATGGATAAGGAACTGACTTATGATCTGGGGCCAAAAAGGCTTATATTGCTGGAACTTGGTGAACATAGTTAGTGTTGTATTGTAGATCTCGAGGCAATTCTTGTGAAAACTGCCTCATGGTCATGGGTAGCATGACAAAAAGCAACTTGAAGTTTTTTCCCTATGTCTTCCTTTCTTTGTTTTTTTTTTTTTTCCCATTTATATTGAGACTGATCATTTCTTTTTCAACGTTTCATTCTGCAACTGACTTGCACAGTTTTTTCTTTGTTTGAATATCATTATATCTTCATTCAGACATCTGGTAACGTAATTGATATTTCCAGGTATGATCGACATCAAATGCCACGAGAAGTTCAAAAGGTGCATAAAGAAAGTGCTTAAATCCGGCAAGAAAGGGTTCTCCAAGACCTGCCCATATGATACTGCAGTCCCCACAATGGTACAGGGTATGGATATGGCAATTATGTTTAGTCAGTTGGGTGCCCCCAAGACCGAACTTTAATACATTCTTACACGTTTAGGACACCATCATGGGAAGATACTATAAGCTAGTTCAGAAATTAGTCCCTCAGAAATTCAAGGATATAATATAGCCTCACAGTCACAGAGATGCCCATTCGCTCTAATCTCTCTGTCGATACGTTCACGGATAATATTCCTAATTTCGCATACCATGCATTATTTGAGTATTTGCTCGTGTTTGTTAACTATAAATTACATTTTAGATGCCTGGTACACGTCAACATCATAAGATAGAGAACTTTATTCATTACATATGCTCGTGATATTAATTGTATTTCCAACACCAACTCATTGCATATTTATACAGCAGCAAAGCTGCACCTTGCAAGATAAACTTTGATTAGTGATATAATTTGGAGTGTACTCGTTGAAGTTGTTCTTACATTAAAATTTAATTATTGGTTTGGTCGGTCTGATTTAGATCGGTCTAATTATTAGGCGAGCACTCTTTTTATAAATGTACACAATTTTATTAAAAATATATTATACTTTAAAAATAATATAAACTGACAATTAATAATATAAGTATGTTATTTTATTTAAATAATATTACAGATCCACACGTCTAACATTCAAGCTTCAAATTTATTGACTTGAAAAATGTAACTAACATCTTGTTGGTTGCTCATGAAAGTCAATGGTTCAAAAAAATAATTTATGTCAACAGGAGTGCACTTCTGTACCATAATCTTAATTTTATTTATTTGTGTCATTACACATATAAGTACCACTACTTCTTACCTTAATAATTTGTATACAAATTATATATTTTTTATCCATGTTACTTAAATATTTACTCGAGTTAATTTTATTTATAAGAGTATATAAACCATAATAATTACTATCTACAAGTAACATTATTGAAACAACTTATTGGCTGACTTCGAAAAGTCAACTTATTGTAATTTATTTCACGCCGTGTAAATTTTAATTTCAATCGTTACATTTTCTTTGTTTTTTACTTATCTGTCAGACTACTTTAGATTGATATACTTGTTAGTCATATTTAATCTAATTTAATTTAATTTAATTTAATTTGACTTTCTATATTAATTTCTTATTTGTATCGATCCACCCAAATGAAATTTGACGAGTCCCTAGCGTGTTGCTTCGTTCTTGCTGTCAAATAAAAACAAATTAATAATGGAAAAAGAAAAATAAATTTATTCGCCCAACTAAAAGAAGAAATTGAATAACTTCCATTTTCCATCTTTTCCTCTCTCTCCAAACAGAAATTTCCGTCCCCATTTCTTCTTCTTTTGATTAAGAAATCAAAACTTTCCGAGTCGATTATCGTTTATTATTAACAGAAGATCCTCGATTTTTTGCAATTTGTGCGCAAAAAGGCTGCTGAAATTTGGATCAGTGATTGCAATTTTCAGCGATGAAGAAGTCGAAGCTTTTGCAGAACTCGAAGGATTTGCTCTCTAGGAGCTTCAATCCTGCCAAATGGTACTTTCTCAAATTACTTCAGGCGTTCAAAACTGCGATTCAAAATCTGTTATTCTGTGTCTATTCACTTGTTTATGTTTTCGTTGATTATTTTGATTTTTTCTTTGTTCTGTTGTTGAATTTGATGCAGCAAAACTTCGCTGAGGCTGGCGAGTTCAAGGTTCAAGTTGTTGAGGAACAAGAAGGAGGTGCAGGTGAAGCAGATGAGGCGGGAAATAGCACAGTTGCTCGAGTCCGGACAGGATCAGACGGCTCAAATTCGGGTATATTACTTGCTATTTGAACCGGATAGATTTGAGATGGATGAATTTAATGTAGTTGTAATGTAATAATGTTTCCTGGTTTTAATTATGGGCACTGGTAACGTGAAGGGGAAGTCCATGATTTAGTGAATCTCTTAAGATCGGTAGCTGTTATTGTTAAGGGATATTAATGAGCTGCAAATATATTAATTAAATGTTATATTCATCCTATGAGTTCCATAATCTGTAGAAACATGTTTCGGGGGGAGAGGTGTTGGGAGAAAACTCAATCTTAGCCTTAGATTGTTTTAGCTTAGAAAGTAGTCATTTGGTTAAATCACTTATAAAGTGGCGAGGATTATAAGAATATTTTCTTCTGCTTATCGAGGAATGAGGATACTAGAGAGGGAATCCCTTAATATCCGACCATGCGAATGAAATGAAGCCTGTGTAAGAAGCTGTAAGTGGATAACTGCAATTAGGAGTACTAGAGGAGAAAGCAACCATGTTAGTTAATTGCCGTTTGGTGAACTTAGAAAGTAAATCATCTGTTTATGTTAATATCTACAATAAATATATCTCTCAATGAGAAACAGAAGAAAAGAAAAGTTATTATGAAAATTTAAACTGTGACCTCTAGTGTGTTGAAGAGGTCAGTAAGTCAGTTTGAGAAATGATCGATAACCAGTTACTTAAGGAAACTTAAATGATTTCTTTTATTTTTCGAGATTAGGGACTTGGCCATATGTGAATTTCTCTTTTTGGTGTTCTTTGGTCAATAAATTTTAAAACATTTACACTAAACTGAAGATCATGTGTTTCCTAATTGTCAGAAAAACATACTAGTAAAAAAGCACATAAATGTCAAGAGGTAGGTACACAGGGGAAGGGGGAAGGGGCGAGTTGCTGGTGGAACTATGAATGCAGTTGATGGTCCACCGAAGTACTTAATTTTCCGAGTTCTGGGGCAAAATGTTACGTCCGTACCCATGTATGAAAGATCATATCATCATAGTGAAAACATTTGTGCAAGTGTATTATTGCGGTTTATCATTTTACACATTTGGTTGTGCCTAAAGCATTTGTCTACGAGAGATATGTAAAGGGCTCGATGAAAAGTGAATGCACATGCATCCATTTTACAATTTCTGCCCAACAGAAGTTTTTTCAAGTAGAACTGCAATAATCTATGCATTTATCCTCATATTGGATGTGTATGTGTTTTGCAATGTAGAGACTTGAAGAAAGCTAGTACAGACTCGAGTGATCATGTGAACTTCAGCCATAAAATTTTATTTTGAAGTTCCTGCTTTCAGGATCTGCGTACTAGTTGTAGCCAATATAAGGTAGAGTTTAGGCTTTTTTATTATGTTGCTTTGGCCATGTGAAATTGGAAAATAATCTATCCAAAAATGCTTACCTTGCATGTCAATATATATCTATCATCTATGGTTTCTAGTCGTGATTTTTCTGCCCACTTATGGTCTGGGGTTGTAACCTAGGGTCATTCTTCCTGCAAGTATTATTGATCCGGTGGAGTTCATTGTGGCTGCAGACTTGCAGTTGTTCTATAATAGTTATAATAGTCAGTCAATTTTTATGCGAACATGGAGAGAAGGGCCTTGAAACATAATTTTATACATTTCGTTTTGGTTTCATTTTATGCCAACATTCGGAACTGCTCATCTTCTCTTGTTTTGGTATCACTTTTATCCTGACATGCGTTTTACAATCAATTGAACATTTGTGTCACCATCTTATAAATTTACAGGTTGAGCATGTGATTAGGGAAGAGAAGATGATGGCTGCATATGATCTTCTTGAGATCTACTGTGAACTCATCATTGCACGCCTTCCAATAATTGAGTCACAGAAGTGCGTATTCCATGCATTCTAGAGTCCTTTTAAATCTTTGTGGTATTAAGTATGCAAATAAGGCCTCATGTGTTCTCCAAATATCTCTATAGGAATTGTCCCATTGACTTGAAGGAAGCAATTGCAAGTTTAGTATTTGCGGCACCAAGATGTGGAGACGTGCCGGAACTTCTTGACGTGAGGAAGCAGTTTACAGCTAAATATGGGAAAGACTTCACCACTGCAGCCATAGAACTTCGTCCACAATGCGGTGTGGGTCGCATGGTATATATATTTTTTAGCACTTGAAATGTGCATGCGAAGGAGTGACCATGACTTTTATTTAGTAGCATAATAAATTTTGTAAATAGTCGTCTTGATTTTTTTTTAATGCCCTGCAGTTGGTTGAGAAATTATCTGCAACTGCTCCTGATGGGCAGACCAAAACTAAAATCCTGACCACGATAGCAGAAGAGCACAATGTCAAATGGGAGCCCAAGTCGTTTGGGGAGAAAGACCCAGGTCCTCTTGATGACCGCCTGGTATGGTTTAATTGCTCTGGATAATTTTCTCCGGCTGATTCTGCAAGCATTTTGTCATATATGTGATTTTTTTTCTTTTTAAACAGAGTGGACCAAGTTCCTTTGGAAAATTGGTTGAACAGCATCCTGAACCTCCAACACAAGTCCAAGTGCGCCCAACCAACAACACATTGCCTCATAGTTCACCATCGAATTTTGGCCAGCGGGATGATAGAACCTCAGAAAAGCCCAGTTTTGCCCAATCTTCTGGTTCCACATCATTTAACCAATCTGAAGCAAGGCCTCCAGGTGTGTAGTACTGCTAAGCGAGTGTGTTACGGATTGTTATTCTAAGTACTTCATATATTATTATTATTACTATGTTTATTTATATATTTTTATATTTTTTTTTTTTCCCAACACCAGGTGATGAAAGATCACGAGAAGATAGCAATATGTACCCTCTGGATGGGCGCAGGTGGAATATGGAATTCAAGGATGCCAAGTCAGCAGCACAGGCAGCTGCTGAGTCAGCAGAACGAGCTAGTATGGCTGCTAGAGCTGCTGCGGAGCTTTCAAGCCACAGTCGTATTGTGAGACAGTACTCTACAGAATTGGACAATTCTGATGTTGATACTTCAAAGTACGAAGAGCACCCGCAATCAAATTTTTCTTATTCATCCAATGACAGATCCTCTGCTGAACATGCTACTAGGCTACAGAATGTGCAGCAAACAGATGGGGTTAAGGTCAATGATCTTAAGACAGCTACAACATTCAAAGAGGATGGTGCTGGTAGTTCACAGGAACATATTCAATCATTTTCTTCAAATCCTAAAGGTTCAGGAGGCGAGTATTCCCAGAAGAACTCCTTGAAGGGGGTGTCTAATGATGACACGAAGATAGAGAAACCGTCTTTCAGTTACGAGGCAGAAACTGCAAACAACTGGCCAGAGAGAGCCGAGAATTTTGAAGAAAAAAGGACCGGGAAACGACACAGTACAAAATCTTCTCATTCTCGGTCTAGCATTTCGGAAGAAGACGTGAATATTTTTTCGAATTCTGACTACAAAAAGTTTGAAAACAATTCTGGTGAGAGTCCCCCGTTTGTGGGTAGAGAAGCCCCTAAGGCGAGCACCCATGAATCCGCTGCTTTGTTCTTCGACAAGTATGATTCGGATACCGATGACGGCAGGTTTGACTTGGGCCCCACATATGATGAGCCAGAGGAATTAGACTTTCACTTGCCGTCCAGAGGCAGGAAATTGTCGGATAGTTTGCCTGCAATCGCAGATTCTTGGGGTCCATCTGCTGATAGCTCGAGCAAAATAGTGACCTCTACCTCGTCGTTATTTTTCTCTGGAGAAAAATTGTCCCCCGATATTTCCGAGAGCACGGAATTGAGAAATGACCCTGGGTTTGATTCTACGCATGTGACTTTTGATGAGTCCGATGGGCCAATTTCCAATAGCGATGATGATACGAAGAACACTAGGCACCGTACTGTGTATGATTATGCAGATATGCATAAACAGAATGAAGGGGGGCATTCTGTTAAATCATCATTTAAGCACAGAGATGGCTCAGTATTCAGAAGTAAAGATCTGTCACTCTCCTCGGATGATGAATTGAGCCCATCCATGGAAATACGCCGCAAAAACAGAGGTCAGGATAGTGTATCTGACGAAGATTCTCCACTAAAGCTCGGCTTTATCAAGCCTGAAGCTAATCAGTCAGCATCGGTACCAAAACAATCTTGGACAGAGTCCAAGGAAATTGACGACGAGTCCAATTCAGAAAGAGTAGAGAGGTTGAACTTTGGAAAACTCACCGGCGGCTTTCGCCATAAAGGTCATCGCAACCAACTGTCTTTCATCAAGAATCGACGGAATGTGCCGTCATCTGACAGGAAAGAGTCTCAGAATATTTCCAGCTCCACTGAGGAGCCTGAGATAGGCACAACATTAGATGAAAATAAAATCTCAACACAGGTTTTTCACTCAGATCCTGATAGTGATACCTCTGATGAAGAGTTGTCGCAAACGAGTTCTCATGACAAAAAGGATGTGAAGGAAGTTAAGACAAAGCCAAACCTGTTTTTTGGTTCAGACAACAGCGATTCGGATGATTATGTTCCAAAGGAGTCCCTTACTGGAAAAAGTAATGTACGAAGTGGGATTTCTCGAAGAACAAAAGCTTCACCTTCTACTCCCAAGACAGATTCTTACACTAAGGAAGCACTTGATTCTGATGTTAGAATTTCTAGAAAACCCCAAAGCTCCTTCAAATCTGAGACTTCTAGGAAATCCGAATCGCCCAGAAAGAACTCAAGCAAATGGGAAACTTACGAGCAACCTAAGCCTACATCTACTAAGTCGAATTTCCAGGGACCTCCTGAGCATCCCCGCCGAGCAAAAGCTTCTTCCGTGACTAAGCAGGAGCTTGAAGCTCGTGATATTGATTCTAGCCATAGAAGAAAACCAGAAAACTCTTTCTCCCCTGAAATTCGGCAAGATTTCGAGTCACAGAAGAAATCTAGTCTGTCCGGAAACTCAGATCAGACTACCTCGGTGAAATTGGCTTCTAAACCTACAAATTCGAGTTTTTTGGGAACTTCGACATCAAAGCAACAGTCCAAGGTCTCTCAGAAATCGTCTATAGTTGAAGAGCCGTCAGGCTACAAACCAAAGGAACAGGCACCTATTAGTAGTGAAAATACTTCTTCAGGTAAAGTCGACAGTCCCAAGAAAGCTAGTCATGTTCATCCAAAACTTCCCGACTATGATACTCTGTTTCAATCTCTTCGGATAAATCGCTCTTGAAAAGCTTCGTGGCCTCCTGTACTATTCCTTCTTGCATGTGACTTGGTTCTTTTTATTGGAAAAAGACACGAGCATTGATAGCTTTACATATTTTTCATGTTATATTATGGTGCCAAATTCTTTTCATTGATTTCTATAAGAGTTTCATGTCAAGCGACGAGATTATCAACCTGTTGAGGTGTCGCGTTCAGAATGTAATTGTTTCCTGCAGTGGTGTGAGAGTGTTGTAAAAAGAGAGTTTGATTTGATTCAGAGCATTTGTTGAGTGTACTAATTCAAGCTGTCCTTGTATGACAGTTTGATAACATTGGTTTATAGTTCGTTTCCTATTAATTGAAAGAATAAAGTTTTGTCATAGTTTCTTATTGATGGCTTTTTGTAGAATATACTTGTTTATATGTTACACTATCTATTCTCTTGCCAGGTGTCTTCTTACCCATATTGTGTGTCTAGTCAATTGTAGCATCTGAAACCATTGGTGATGGTCGCTTATTGGATGAACTACTTTGATCAGTTGATCCATGATTATGCAACTTTCCCTGCTGATAAAATGTTACTTACCTAATTAAACTTAAAGATTAGATGATTTAACATGTTCAACATCAAGAAAAAAAAAATTATAATAGAGTAAGCGTTTGTGTCATCGTCACCCTCCATAAGTAGGGTTAAGTAGTTTATTAGCAACCAAAAAACAACATTAAATAATAATCTTTTTCAACAGTACATTGTTTATAGCCGCACCTGCTTGGCTGATAGTTCCTTCGCCGTATCTAAATTATCAAACTATCAGTCTACATAAATCCAACACGTTACAATAACTCAAAATATTTTGAGTACACAAGCCAATAACACTATTCCAGTAAATCCTAAACCAGTCCAAGCTTTCATAGGCCGAATAATCCCTCAATATTTCAATCAAGAACTCGTTGAAGTATATTTCTCTATCTTCAAAGCAAATGTTTGCGCAACCAGCATAGGGAATGCAATGCTTGCATCACAATGCACCTGCTTGGATAAATACACTCCCAGCATTATTATTTAACAACCCAGCTATTTTGTTAATCAACAACTGAATAAGAATATTTAGCAAGAAAAATTATACTATAGCAATTATGCTAAATAAGTAAATAAAGAATAAAGAAAACGTCAAACCTTGACAGTCTTAGCAGAACCTCGAATTTTTCCCCACGACACAGCTTCATCTGGGCGGGCCCCCGAGTCACTTCCGTCGAATTCTTGTGCAGTGTTAATAAAAACCGCAAAATCGGCTCCATTTCGCATCATATTCGCATTGCAAATATGATGTTTGGGCAGCCCGCCTCCGAGTATTATCATCCCAGTCTTTCTTGGGCCCGCGTGGACAGCCTCACCGTTCATTGCTCTAATATCTATGCACATGTAAGACATTTAGGGGGTGACTGGATATGGATTTGATTTTTTTTTTTTTTTTTTTTTTTAACCATAGTTAATTTTGAAGAAAGTGGTATTTATTGGTGGAAATATAAGTTTAAATTATAATATTATTTAAAATTAAATAATTAAAGTTGATTTGATGTAAAAATAGGAGAAAAATTATTGGAAGTGATGGTTAGTTAAAATTATATGAATAAATGAATAGTGAATTAAAGTTGATGTGCTGTGTAAGAATGATTGGTTGATATTATTTAATTATACTGATAATATTTAGGATGGTGGAGTTGAGTTACAGTTGAGTTTTGATTGTTTTTTTTCTGGTTAAGTTTATAACCAATCACACACTTATGTAGTCCTAGTCATGCAAATTGGAAAAAGGGATGGTTTTATATGGATTGTTATGTGTACCTTGCACGATATCGATCACCAAACCAGGGTTCTTGTATGAGTGGAAGTACAACATGTCTCCAAGGGAACCATCTGTTAAGCCCGGGCAGAAAACCGGGATATTGTTCTGCAGGGATGAAGGGGAAATTCTCATATTATCTAAATATTACATGTCAAAAAGCTCAATTGCAACTTAAAACATAACTTGGTCTCCCCCATAAGTGAAATCTAATAGAAATACATCAGTTTTAAATCCAATAATTCATCAAATGGTCTTTTTATCATCATACAGTCCTGTGTTATCGCTGAGATTACTGAGGATCGTTTTTGTTAATTAATATCAATTACAGAGTTGGTTAAGTCCCCAAGCATTGTATAATTGATCAGGTTTAGAAAAGTAAATATTCCCTGGTAACCAGCTATTGACCATTTACTTCTCCAACTTTCAGGTTAGAAATATTTTATAAAAAAAATAATCCCGCGATGCTTTAATTTGAAAATCATTCTTATGAATAGAAACGAAACAGAAGAGCTCCTTCGATTTAAAGGAAGGTGTGACAGTCATAATATGGCACAGCTAATCACACCATTCAGTCAATCACTCTTAATAAAATCCAGCGATAAACATATATGCAAAAATGAAGCACATCATCTCTTTTCCACGAACTTGTGAGCCTAAATTATAAACAGAGCAGATTTAATAGCAATAAGCCCCCGTCACACTCAAGTTAACACATTTGTTGAGTGAAATCCAAAACAAGGGAAAACAAAAGACTAAATTAACTTAAATAACATTCAGTGTGATACTGATGCACTGTAAAGGTTCACCAAATACCCAAAGTGGACTTGACTTTCTTACAGCATCCCAAAAGAATTTTAAAAAAAAAAAAAACAACAACAACAACAAATGGGTAAAGTAAAACAAATCCTTTTATTTGTATGAAAAAAATATTCCTTTGATAATAAAAAACAGTTAGTTTAAGAAACAAAATGACCTAAGTGGTTGAATATTCTAATTTGAAATAAAACCTTCAACTAAATTGGCATCGTTGAGGCATGTAACTGTAAAGTGAGATGTTTAAAGTGATCAGTAACTACATGAAAATTTGAGCTAGAACATGTACCTTGAATGCCCAGTACAGGTATGAACTCTTATTATTTATTTCTTTCCCCAGAAGAGCAATTACTTTAGATGGTGTCCATAGTACATTCTGCAACATAAAGTTAAGGAAATAAGACAAGAATCCAAGTTGAACTTTCAGTTGAAGGAATATATACAGCAAAACCTAAACAATTTATGTGAATTTATAATTAAAAATATCTAAAATGCCATAAATGGAAAACAAAGTGTAGATCAGGGAGGAGCATCTTTTCAGAACTACATCCAACGAAATATGCAAGCAGAACAAAACATACACATACACACACACACAACCAAGGAAAGAGGTCAAGCAATATAACCATCACGAGCAGTTGTTTCACTACAAATGGGATTCATATGTGATGCAATGACTGTCGGCTTGGGGCTAGAAACATATCAAAATAATCAATAGAACACACACATAGCCTGAGATCAACGCATACTATTATCTATTCCTTCGTGTAATGAGAGTGAAGAGTTCATAAACATAATTCCGAGGGTTGGTTCTTGGACACTAGGGATCAAGCTAGTACATTTTTCACGACATTCAGGACACAATTATACTGAATACCATTAAAAGTAATCATAGCGCAATCCTGCTGCACTATCCATCAAGGGTATACACAAACTGAATGATATATGTTCACTAGGTTACTCGACTTAACAAATTTTACTTTTAAGATACTCGACCAGAACTAAAATGCGTAATCTTTTTTTCACAGCAAGATTTAATAATCTCGTCCACTTTAATTTGAGAAGATATAAATTGCGATGTTATAGGTCAACTAACATCCCAATTAAGTACTTAATTATCAAAATAAAAAGATCAAGTGAAATATCATACCAAATAAGATTGACTACCTGTGTCTTTTGCTCCTCTAACATCTGATCAAAAATTGGGATGATCCAATCCTCAAACTTACAGTAGTTGTCATTAGGAACCAACAAGTTACCAATGCGGTTCAGACCTTTCGACCTAAGAACACCACCAGGCAGAGAAAAATCACCTCTGTAGGTAGGTGCAAGACACTTCACAAGGTCCTCCTCTACACCACCAGCAGTTGTTACCACTACATCAACCTACAGGCATGTCAAACAATTTGAGCCGAACCTTTTTTTTTATCAGGAAATCTAATAGGAGTAAAGACTCGAGAGAATGAAATATAAAATTTTATTACTGATAAGTAGTAACCAAAAACTTTAAAGCTTCCAAGAAGAATGGTTCTGCCCAGGAAGAACTAATCTTGCCCAACAGTCAAGCCTATTACAATCTAATTCTCTTTTGCCTACCTTCATCTACTAGAAACTTTATTTTTAAATTAAACTGGCATAATTATAAAAGGTGATAAATAATAACAGAACCAAGGAAATAAAGAATTTCAAAAGACAATCAATCCATGATTTATACTCCTTTCCTAGTTGCTTAACTATTATTATTCTTCAATCTACTCTCCATTATTTATTCCCTGTTGCACGATCTCTCTCTCAAAATCACAATTTAAATCAAGCATGTTAAGCGTTTATCTGAAATTTAGATAAGATTATCACATGAATGAACACAAAATCAAAAGCTGTTCATTAATTTTTCAAAATGTTTGAGTAAAAATGAGTAACAAAAAATAAAATACAAGATTAAACATCACAGAAACAGTGGTTCCTTCATCTATATGTTCACAGTCTGAATTCTAGCTTTGAATCTTCCACTTCAATTCCATGTAATACAAGCAGTATTAAAATCAGTAAACACATGATAACATAGAGTTGAAATAGTAGCAGTCCTTGAATACATCATTTTACCTAAAATTTTCTAGAAATCAAACAAATTGGTTTCTAGAGCCACTCACCATGCGATGCTCAACAAGATAACAGATATGCTCACGAACACCAGAGGAGATGAGATTAGAAGTAAAGCCAAGAAACACTTTACACCTCACAGACTTTCGATAAGCCGCATCCCTCTCCTCTTCACCGCAATCTTCTGCGGGAGTCTCATCCGAGAGCCTCCAATCTAGCTTCATCCACAGTATAAACAATAGTGACAAAACCAAAACACATTAAAGGCCTCTCATTAAGTGAGCTCGGCAGTCTTGGATTAGTACAAAAAGAAAGAACAAATCGTTACTAAAATATGAACAATAGAAGGTTAAGGTTTTCGGCATGGAAATACCCCAGAATGTCATAGTCCATAAAACAAATGTCCTTCCACAATGTCCTTTTCACCTCCTCTTTGCAAAAAAAAAAATGTTCTTTCAGTAGTAATAACAGTTGGTTTTCGACATTTTATTTGGTGGTATAGACAAAAGTGGCATTTTTGTAACACAGACAAAAAATGGTATTTCTCCAATTTTCCAAAGTAAGGCCCAACCACAGGTTCCATTCAACATTTCTACATCCTGGTCCCTTTCTTATCACCTGAACAATCAACAGCTTTAAAACTTTCAACACAAAAACTAAGCCCTCCTTCGGACCAGCCCAACTTTATTCCAAACACATGTTAAATCATTCAACTTATGAAGTTCATAACGATGAGTACGAACTTTCTCTCTTATAATTGGCTAGACATACAACCCAGTTGAGAGAGAACAAACCATTTCATTAACTATCTGAAACGCATCGCCAAGGTTGGAGGCCTGAAATCCAGTTCGAACGAAGGACTTGAAAAGCTCGTCGTAATTGACGCCCTTGTTGAAATCGTAGCCCTCGATTTTGGGGTACGCGCCATCCAAGCTCTCGGATTCCTTAAACACGATCGAACGGACGGTTTCCGGCAGAGTGTACTTTGTAGCTTCTCCCATGGCGGCGAAGGCGGACAGTGTGATGAGAATTTTAGCGTTATCTGGCCGCAGCGCTCCCAAGTTTAAGAAGATATATTTTTCGAAACATTTGGATATAAATTTTATCTAATAAAAAACCAATCAAAACTCAAATTTGACTAAATTTTAACTTAATCTTATTATCTTCAATTTATCCATAAAATTACGGATGTGATTTGATATAAATTTCATTGGTTTTTTATTGGTTTTCTATTCATCATGGTTAATTTAAAAAAAAAAATTGATATGATTAATTGTTAGTGGAAATTTAAGTTTATATTAAAATAATATCTATATATATAATTACTAGCTAATAACATTTAAGAAAACCTATTTAATAAAACCTTTAATATTTTCCCTCCATTTTCGGTTACAAAATTTATCATTAATGTTTTTTTACTTCTCACATTAATACATCCTATTAAGTGTAATCATATATATTTCTATTATATTATATAATAATTAATGCTAATACCAACTAATAATAATTCACAATAAATATAAATTGCATAATTATAAACAATTATTTCAAGTTATTTATTTTAACATTAATATTATCTTTTTCTTTTGTATAAACAAAAGAAAATTTGCATGACAAATTTTAAAAAATTTTAACATTAATATTTATTTTAAAAAAATTTCTTTTGCATAATTATTAACATTAATATAAACAATTAATTCACAATAAACATAAATTGCATGAAAAATTTCTTTAAAAATAATTAGTAAATTGTTTTAATAGCATTGTCAAACAACTTTAGAATCTTATAAATAATTGTTTTTGTAATAATAATAATAATAATAATAATAATAATAATAAAACTACTATTATCTAATGATAATAAATAATTGTTCATAATAATAAACAATCATTAATTTATTTTTTCTAATGATTAAATTTTAAAAATGTAATATGTTCATTATATAAAATTTAATATTAAATTCTCAAATATTATTTATAATATTTTATGTATATCTGTGTATGTGCACAGGATATTTACTAGTTTAAAATAAAATAATTAACATTGTTTAGATGTAAAAGTAATAGAGAGATGATTGGAAGTGATGATTAATTAAAATTATGTGAGTGATTGAACAATGAATTAAAGTTGATGTGATGTCTAAGAATAATTAGTTAATATTATTTAATTATATTGATACTATTGAGATAGTGAAATTGGGTTAAAGTTGAGTTAAATTTAGGTTTTGATTGATTTTTAACTAATTGAATTTATATCCCATGATTGTCAATCGAGTCATATTTACAAATTTATCCCACCTAATAAGAACCAAAACTCAACCTGAACTGGAGCTGGTCGTGGCCACGATACTCTGTGTCTCGTGGAAGGGACAAAGATAAAGGAACGCTTCCTCCATGAGTAACGGCAGGCCCAAACCGATTGCTATAGGGCTTCTCTTCTGACGGAAGATTTACCACAAAATCCGCCTATGAATCACTTCTGCATGATGCGAATGGGCCTAATGTACCTATCCGGAAGCTCATTTGGCGAGTTATGGCACCATAACGGGTCCGACAATTCTTATGGCTAGCGTGCAACGAACGTTTACTTACTAATGTGGAACGCGCTCGATGACATTTCTCCACCTCTAAGGGATGTGAGTTTTGTGGACGACGGGAGACTGTCATGCATGTGGTTCGTGATTGTCCGTACGTAAAACCTTTGTGGAAGCGCCTTCTCCCGGCAGGTCATGAAGCTGATATCTTTGAGAAACCATTGCGGTCGTGGTTCACACAAAACCTCTCACAATCTCGATTGGGCACATACACGAAGTGGAGTAGCCTTTTCTCTATCGTAGTCTGGAGAGCATGGGCGTGGAGGAACGACCGCATTTTTAACGGCTGTAACGTGGGTTGCGAGGCGAGGCGTGTAGAGGTGATGAATCGATTGAAGCCCTATACTCACTCTTCACAAACATTAGCTAAGATAGGGGCTGAAATAAATCGTTTCGAGACTTGTTTAATTTATTGGTCACTGCCGGACCACGAATGGATTAAAGTTAATATTGATGGTGCTTTTGACAAGACTTATGGGCTCAGTAGTGCGGGTGGGCTTCTTCGCGATGAGTTGGGCAGATGGACTATGGGGTTTCTCATGCATATAGGCTATTGTACCATTACTGGAGCAAAATTGTAGGGTCTTTTTTAGGGGTTGCAAATTGCATGGGATAAAGGGTTTCGTAAAGTTGTTGTGGAAATTGATAGCCAGTGTGTGTTACAGATGATAATCGGGCTCGAAAGTAATTTTGAGGTGCTTCATTAGTCAAGGCCATTCGTCAAATGATCTAGCGAGAATGGACTATTAACATTCGACACGTGCATAGAGAGACAAATTTTGCGGCTGACCATTTGGTGAGCCTAGTGCCTTCGTATCCGATTGGTCTCCATGTGCTGTCTATGCCCCCTTCTAGTTTAGATGAATGGCTTCAAAACACCGTACGTTTATAAATTCACTGGCAAAACACCGTACGTTTATTCATTTCCCGCCCCTCAAATTTCCCGCAACCCTAATCTTTCAAGATGGGAACTAAGCACCACAGCTCCTCTGATCCCACTGCCGACAGTAAAAGGAGACGCCGTGCCGGATTCCCCAAAATTGGTAGCTCGCTCGCCTTCGAATTGCTTGTTTTCTCTTTTACCGTCATTTTCTTACATGTTTCTCTGAAATGTGGCTTCATTTCATGTAGATGCTGGAATCGAACCGAAAGAGTGCATCAAAATTTATCTGGGTACTCTTTTGTTTTTGGCTTTATTAGTGTTTTTGCGTCTAATTGTTCATTTATTTGCTCTTCACTCACGGTGTTTACCCCTTCATGTTGCTCATTTGAAGTGAATGGCTCTTTGGAACTTTTCATGTTCGGAATAATTGTATAGAAATTTGAGTGAAGGAATTTGTAGTTAGCACTGTTGTTCCAGTGAAAAAATTGAATTATGAAATTTGTTCGGGCTTTTACATTTGCTTGGGTTGTGTGAGACATTGTCAGTTTCTAGTGGGTATGCCTTACTTGGGAAAAGTCTCTCGTAGGTAAATTTATGTGAGTCTTCAGACCATGGAGTAGATTTTTAATATTGAACGATCATGTGTCTATATATCCCGAAATCAAAACTAAATCATGGTGGTCTAACTTTTAGTGTTTCTTGAGAAGAGTCGATGTATATATTCTAAAAACAACTTGTTTAATTACTTGAGGAAAGTATCATCTGTGACTCTGCTTTTACTCAAAAGGCTCTTGATTTTCTTTTTTTGTTCTGTACTATAGACTTGGATTTTTAATCAAGCGTTGTTATTATGTGTTGTCTACTCTGTTTCTGACTTTGTCTGATTGAGATACATGTACAGTATCTAGGAAAGACGAAGTGTTATCTCCAGACAGTTTCCAAGTTGAACCAATTGACCTGTACCAGTTCTTTGAAGAGGATGGGAAGATATATGGTTACCAGGGTCTGAAGGTGAAGCTATTTAAATGAAATTTTAGTAATTTGTTTATCTGACTTATCTGCGCAATTGTCATTAGCAATGTAATTCAGTTTGTCCGGACATAAAATGGATGCCATCGGGTTAGTTTCATTCTTATTTTTTATGAGATTTTTATTTTTTGTTGGTTTTGTAAGTGACGGTCAACTAGCTAGATAACATGTTGTAGGCTGTTTAATTGATATTTTATATGGGTATAATAAAAAAACAAAAATTGAAAACGCTGTGGATCGAATTTTATACATGTTGGACTTACCTTGTGATATGCATGGCTGTCCCATGAGCATTAGCACTGTTGATATGTCTCCTCCACTTCCACTCATCCCTATACTTAGGCACAAAAAGTATCCATAGTTTGTAGGGAAATCAATATCAGAGTAGTTTAACGCATGGACAAAATCTAACTGTAGTAATCGAACCAATAGGCCCATTTTAGTTATTTCCTTATATGATACTTTACTTTTGTTGGTCACTGTTGTAGTATTTCCCTCGTATACATGAGTTCTCTCTCTGCTATAGACTTAACGAATGTTTGCAAACTAGTAAAAGTGTATCATCTTATGGTCGGGAAAAAGTCGTTTTATGTGTTTGTTTTTAGTTGTCTTTAATCGAATCTAAAGGCAGGGAGTTGCTTTAGATTTCTGAATATGCTTTTTAATGTCTTGTAGTCACAAATATAGAATTGTTACAACTTATAACCAAACTGTTCTAGCCTATTCAAACTTCTGTTTCCCACTTTCCCTCACTTTCGATTCTCAGTGACCTTATGCTTATGCTGCAGATCACTGTGTGGCTTAGCAGCATATCGTTCCACGCATATGCTGATATTTCTTTTGAGAGCTCATCAGATGTAAGTCTTCGCCTACGATTTTGTAAGTTCATAATATAACAGATTGGTCACAAGACCTAATTGTGAAACCATATGATGGTGTTCCTTTGGCTTGTATTGTGTTTGGTCTCATGTTTTATATTCTTAATGGTTGGCGGTAAGTTGGATGCCTTGGTGAATTTTCGCCTCACTCAGGATGAATGTTTTGTATTTCTTGTAACATAGACTCTTAAATAGCATCCAGTAGGGTTTCTGTTTCCAGGTTTCTTCTTTTGCTTTAGGCTTTACTTTTCTTAAAGAAAAATGAGGAGGCAAGTGGTACAAATTGTAAGATGTAAATTCCATTTGGCTTTCTATTTGAGTATATTGATAGTGGTTCATTTTTCAATTTCCCCCCATCTCGTGCCAATTAGTGCTGCACATCTGCAAATCTCATTTTATTAAGCTGTGTCAAAAATTGTTCAAGTACTTGATATGGGTTCAGTTTTAAAAAATCAGTGAATATCCCGAAACATACCTTTTAAATTATTTTTCTTTTGTCAAGTTGAGATAATTATTGTCAAAGTAACAGTATGCATTATTATGCAGCTTATACCCACCAGATTTTTATTTTCTGACGAAGTTTAGAGTTGTATTGGAAAATATATTCTGACTCTTAGTTTTCGGTTTCATTTATAGTGTATTAATGACTGCCTTTTCTGATATTTCTAAGGGTGGCAAGGGGATAACCGACTTGAAGTCATCCCTTCAGGTAATGCTGAACTATCATGTTTGACAGTTTATCCAATCTTCCCTTGAAATTCATACACGTACAGTAAAGAATACTTTATTTTGTCAGAATATTTTTGCTGAGAATCTTGTTGAGAGCAAAGATGACTTTCTTCAGACATTTTCAACTGAATGCCACTATGTAAAGTATGTCAAACTAATAATTGTCAAATAACTATTAATGTTCTGTGTATGATTGGTTATCAATTTTAACATTGATATTTTAACTGTTCTTACCTTTAGGTCCCTCGTCGCTGGTGCAGAAGTCTTGAGTAAAGATGCTCTTACGGATAGCAGTGGGAACTCCATTTGCCATTTTAAAGAAGAGTCAATAAACATTGAGGTAGCTGATCAATGTTTGCTCCCTGACATTAGAAGCAATGTCATTGTTTCACATTATTTTTTATGATATTCCTCTTGGTGCTACTTCTTAAATTTCTCTTCTGGATCCCCATAAGTTCTCTGTAGACATTGGTTAGACCTTCTGCTTTCAAATTAAGTCGTAGTACTCTTGGAAATACCACCAAGGATGTGTGTTATTTGTGTATCCTTTCTTTTCCTCCGTGGTGAAAAACGTGTGGCAGCTAGTTAAAAAGTCGCAGGCAAATATGTAATCGAAAAAAATAAAAAGAAACAGAAAAAGAAGTGCAACAGAACATTTTCGGCTCTGATAAATTCTAATATAAGTGGGTCAGTAAATCATCAATATTTTTCATTCATTTTGTTTATGCGCAGAGAAATCTCTTGATTGGCACTCCAAAGTGCGCAGCTTGGTTTTGCTTGCGGAAAGTGTTGTATAAAAATGAATATATGTTCTATCAATCATCAGGTTTGGTTAGATATTTCGTTAGTGGTTCCTGTACTCCCAAAATGTACCTTTTGTTACCAATCCCTCTTGTCTGACAGTGAAAAGAGTGAGGTCCACATTTTGAACTTTTGCGGAGCTTGAGTTTGCATTCTTTAGTTAGGTACAATATCATCGCTCCAAATGAAATGTCAGTTAAATATCTTCTTACTAAGGTCTATATTTCTACTTTTTCTTCTTTCTTTTCCATTTTTTCCCTTTTTGGTTGAGGTACTGCAGATTTTCTGCATCAGGGGTCCTGAGATGGGGCAACTTTACAGCCGATTGGTCCCACTTGTTCTTCTTCTAGTAGATGGTAGTTCCTATTTGCTTCAGCTTTATGAAAATTAAAAATTTATTCATTCGAACAATAAATTTTTCCTCCTGCGCAGGTAGCAATCCTATTGATGTCACTGATCCAAAATGGGAAATCTATATTCTTATCCGAAAAGACCATCATGATAGTTGCACAAGGCTGCTTGCTTTTGCAGCTGTTTATCGTTTTCACAGGTATCCTGACGGGATTCGCCTGCGCCTAGGTCAGGTAAAGTGCTTTGTTTCTCTGAGATCCTTAAACCTAGAGTTACAACCTACAAGTACAGTAGAACATCACTAAATTAATCACCTCTCCGTGTATTTTTTTTTTTTTCCACAGTACCACATCATCATTGGTATAGAAATTTGTCTGTACATAAATCAAAGCCTCTTGTAATTAATAAATCGATGTGGGGTGTGATTGGAATTGGATATGTGGAAAAAAAAAAATCATTTTTAACTCAATCATTTTTTTTAATTCAACTTTAACTCAATCTCACTTTCCTCAATATTATCAATATAAATAAATAATACAAATCAATCATTTTTACAAATCATATCAACTTGAATTCACTATTCATCCACTCACATAATTTTAACTAATCATCTCTTCACATTATCTATCTCCTACTTTACATTAAATCAACTTTAATAATTTTATTTTAAATAATATTTTAACATAAAATCAAAATCCCACTAACAACTAACCTTACCACATTTTTCAACATCAACCATAATTAACAAAAAAACCAATCAAAACCAAATCAAATCCATATCCAATCACATCCTAAAAATGTAAAGAAATTTTCATAATTCCATACCAAGTTTGTGTTTGGTGGCAGATATTGACCATACCCCCCTACCAAAGAAATGGCTGTGGCGGCTGTCTCCTTCAACTGCTCAACAACATTGCAATTTCAGATGACGTTTATGATCTCACGATTGAAGAACCTGTGGAGTCCCTTCAACACGTGAGAACGTGCATCAATGTGCGGCGCCTGCTCGCTTATGACCCAGTCCTTCGAGCCCTCGACCCCATTGTCTCGAAACTGAAGCACGAGAATCTCTCCAAGAAAAGCCAGCCCTTTCGGTGTGGGCCCCCAGCGAGTATAATCAAGGATGTCAGGAAAAAAATGAAAATCAACAAGAGACAATTTATCATGTGCTGGGAGATATTGATCTATCTCAGCTTAGACCCCGTTGAGAAATACATGGAGAATTATGTGACGATAATTTCAGGCCATGTGAGGGCTGATGTTATTGGGAAAGAATCTGAAGGGGCTGGGAAGCGTTTGGTTGATATCCCGACTCAGTTTGATAAGGATATGTCGTTTGCCATGTTTAAGTCTAGGGATGGTGATTGTATTGGTGCAGTTGAAAAGGATGAGAGTGAGGGCAATCAGGAGGAGCAACTAAAGCAATTGGTGGAGGAGAGGATGAGAGAGATTAAATCCATTGGAGAGAAGGTTGCTGGTCGAGTTTTGTTATGAAGCGGGAAATATATGCCTTTTTAGGAACTAACTGGTTAGTATATTTGAAAGACTGGATTTAATGTGGAACTTGAGCTCAAGAAAATTGTCAAATTTGTGGCTCTAGTGGAACTAACTGGTTTTGTTGGACTTAAAGTTGCTTGAATTTGTGGGACATTCTAATTTTGGTATCTGTTTTTTTGTCTAATTTGTGACAGATGTTATTCTTTTGGAATTTAAAATTCAAAATGCATTTAGAATTTTATATCTAGTTAAGGATTGATCATAACACTAATACTTTGTTTGTGAATTATTAAATCAATGTAGGAAATTAAGTTTTATGGTTTAACATGAAACAAGATAGATAAAATGTTGGTTTTAGTTTGTTTTATTTTATGTTAAATTTGACTTTAGGCTAAATCATGAGTGTGGTTGAGTTTAAATTGACATTTGATTTTCGTTAGTTCCATACATATTTGTTAAAAATATAATTTTATATTTTTTTTTGTGAATCGTGTTTATTAAGTATGTAACGATAATGATTGAGTTTATTATGTAATCCATGTGTTATTAAAAATTCCGGCATAACAAGTTATACACGGTAATTTTAAAAATGACCAATTTGTAAGAAATATAATAATATTATTATATGAAAAGGATGAGTTAGAAGAGTGCTTGATATCTAATGTCGTGTATAAACATTTTTTTTATAATTATAATAATTCATTTTAAATTTTTTATATAATATATTTACTTTATTTAATACTTAATATAATTGATTTCACCGTGCAGGTGCATTGTTAAATATCTAAAGGGCTGAATTTAATTGGGATTTTTTAAATAATATTTTAAGACTTTTTAAAATTTAAGACATTTTAAGATTTTTAGATTGTGAAAAATTCTATGGAATCTTAAGTTTGAGAGTGTGATTTGTATCTTTATAAATCACAACATATTTTAATAAGTCTTATTAAATTTGAAATCATCCGATAGCTCCGTTATGGAGCCATCTTCATTGAAAAAGTATTATCAAAATATGTTTTCCAAATAAATTAGAATACGTTTTTCAATGAACAGGTTGGGATACCTAAGGAAATTCTGAGAATAAGTTTTTCTAAAGCTAAAAATAAAATTGCTCCAATAAGCATTCAGTTTACATTTTTTCCATTTTTCGGCAAAATCTCATATCTAAACAAGGAAAAAACCATTTCGCAAGCTATCGCCATGGATTTGCTTCCGGTGGAGTCGCCGCAGATCCTGAGCAGGAGCAAACGGCGGTTCCGCTCCCTCAAGCTCGTCACCGTCAATGACGACGACGTTCTGTCCGAGACGCCGTACGGCGTCAACTACGGTCGCCTCAGTAATGGTCTCACTTACTATGTGCGCTCAAACTCCAAGCCCAAGATGAGAGCTGCTCTCGCTCTCGCTGTTAAAGTTGGGTACGTGCATTTTTTTTTCTTTCCCCAAACTTGTTTTCTGGCTTACTCTGATGGTTTGTAAGTGCGTTTGGCATTTGTTGTTGCCTTTTCATTTAAAATTTGTGTTAATTGGGAATTTGAGTGCCTTCTGGTGATTTATGTATTGCTGTTTGCGGTATTTGCTTGGAAGTTTGATATGTGAGGCCAGTTTGAATGTTTGATGCCAATGTCAAATTAGTGATTGATCACTAGGTACACCGTGTGTGTGTGTGTGTGTTACGACCAATGCGACTGTCCTAACTGGTCGGAATTTATATGTGGACCTCGCATTGGTGTCATTCTCTACTCAATAGAATTGAGCTGCTATGTTGTACTAACTTGATGACAGCCTACAGCTAACTTGCTCTTGAACAATCTTAGATTGACTATTGCATAGTTGAGTCTGGTACTTCATAATAGGCCAGTGCAAACAAAATTAAATTATTCAAGAAATAAAATAAACATAATTGTAATATTCAAGAAATAAAATAAACATAATTGTAAAAATAAAGCCCGTGCCTTCAAAATTTGACACATTTACTGAGCACACCCTTTCGTCCATGGCAGTTCAGTTTTAGAGGAGGAGGAAGAGCGTGGAGTTGCTCATATAGTTGAGCATCTAGCTTTCAGTGCCACCAAGAAATATACGAACCATGATATTGTCAAATTTCTTGAAAGTATTGGGGCTGAATTTGGAGCCTGCCAAAATGCTGTTACATCAGCAGATGAGACTGTTTATGAGTTATTTGTTCCTGTTGACAAGCCTGAACTACTATCTCAGTCATTATCGGTCTTGGCAGAATTCAGTTCTGAGGTAAAGGTGTATTCCATTTATTTTTTGAGTATATTATTTACTTTAACAATGTCATATCTCCTGTGGTACAGGTTCGTGTATCAGCAGATGATTTAGAGAAGGAAAGGGGAGCTGTGCTTGAAGAGTATAGGGGAAGTAGAAATGCAAATGGAAGAATGCAGGACGCTCACTGGGTTCTCATGATGGAGGGTTCTAAAGTAATGCTTTCTTTTTCTTATAGATCTCATCACCTGGTTTTGCTGCATTCGAATATTTTAGGAGATTAATTATTATTGATTTATTTTGTGGAGGATCTTATCTCCTTATTGTGGTTTCAGTATGCTGAGCGTTTACCAATCGGACTTGAAAAGGTGATTCGTTCAGTTACCCCTGAGACTGTTAAGCAGTTCTACAATAAGTGGTACCATATGCAAAATATGGCTTTGATTGCTGTTGGAGATTTTCCTGACACAGAGGTTAAAATTTTGTTCATCATTTTTTTCTTTTACATAAATCCACAAAACATCAAGTTTAATTGATTCTTCGTTTCCCTCATCTATTCTTCTTTCATGGCAGAGTGTTGTTGAGTTGATAAAAACCCACTTTGAAGATAAAACTCCGGTACTTGATCCTCCTCTCATCCCGCAGTTTCCGGTCCCAGCACATGAGGAGCCACGTTTTTCAAGTTTTGTGGAATCTGAAGCAGCTGGGGTTAATTCTTGATTCTTTATCCTAACTTTCCATTAAAAAATCAATAACAAATGTCAGTTTTAGCCACAGCGTTTTCCCTGTCACTGAGATTTCTATGTACTGATATTACTTTGATAATTTGTGACAGTCAGCAGTGATGATCAGTTGCAAGGTTCCAGTGGTTGAGCTGAAAACTGTGAAGGACTACAGGAATCTACTCGCTGAGTCCATGTTTTTTCATGCTTTGAACCAGAGGTTCTTTAAGTTGTCTCGTAAGAATAATCCACCTTATTTTTCATGCTCAGCCGCTGCTGATGTACTTGTTCGTCCAATTAAAGCCTATATAATGACTTCATCTTGTAAGCAAAATGGGACTACTGAAGCACTAGAATCGATGCTGATTGAGGTGCCTCTTCCATCCTGATTTGCCAACTTATTCTTTTTTTTTTTTCTTTTTTTTTTTGTTACACTTATGCATGATTTTTCAGGTTGCTAGGGTTCGCTTGCACGGATTTTCTGAACGTGAAATATCTGTCTCACGTGCTCTTTTAATGTCAGAGATTGAATCTGCCTATCTGGAGAGAGATCAAATGCAATCAAGCAACTTACGAGATGAATATATACAGGTATCTCCTTCTTTCTCTCATTATATATCTGCATATAAGGTTCAAATGGTTCAAAAGGAAATCTTTCTTTTGTATATAATGTGCCTTTCCCTCTTTTCTCACAGCATTTTCTCCGGAATGAACCTGTTATTGGGATTGAATATGAAGCACAGCTTCATAAAACCCTTCTTCCCTGTGAGCATATTTTAAATCTTCCCTTTATTTATTTATTTTTGTGTGTCAATCGTAAATCAATATAACTCACTAACTTTCATTGTTCTGTTCTTTTCAATTGTAGGTATATCAGCCTCTGAGGTGTCCAGTTATTCAGAAAATTTCCGTACATCTTATAGCTGCGTAATAAAAACAATTGAGCCTCAAGCAGCAGCAACAGTGGATGGTCTGAGAAATGTTGTTTTAAGGGTCAATTCTTTCGAAGATGGAGGAAGCATTTCCCCCTGGGATGACGAAAAAATTCCCGAAGAAATTGTTACTATACAGCCAAATCCAGGGTAAAATCACTTTTCTACACATCCTTTATGATACAGGAATTATCTAATTAGCAACCAGAAAATGACCTTTTTGTGAATGCTGTGTTTGTAGAAATAACCATGCATGCTCAACTTTGTAAACTAAATCATTGTCAGCAATTGAACAACTTATAATTCCAAAGTAGGAACGATTATAAAACTCATGATATCCCTCTCGTGATGGAGAGATGAGGCATGTGCATCCCTTTGTATCGAGTATTCTGCTACATACTCGACTGAGATATTAGGTTTTGTCCCAAATTTATGAACACAGAAGAACATGGGTTTGACATAGATCTTGTTAGTTTTTGTTTACAATCTACATGTATTCTACTATTCACATATAAGGCATGGAAAGCTTAGACAATCTTTGTTTTTAAGTTTCCAACAACCCATTTCCATTTTAAGCAATTCATATAACTGCTATCATGTTTGTTTGTTTATTTTTCCGTTGCTAATCATTACCACAATTCCATATTTTACTTAAAACATTATCTCAAACAATACCCAGATCTCAGTTTTCATATGATTATTTATTCCATATTCATTCTATTTCATTTATTTTCTACAATTTTTCAATCCATGGTTTGTGTATCTGCTATTATGATGAACCTGGACAAAAATATTTCAAGAACAGTAGTAGATGCACAACCCAGTCTTTTACCATCTTCTAGTAAATTCAACATAGACCTGAATATCTTCAGGTCTTTATATTTCATTTATTAGTATGTATTGATGGAGAAATCCCAGAAGTATTTTGTCATATTTGTGTTCCTGAGATCAACAACTGACGACTGTTATCAGACTAGTTGTTGACTGATTGCATGATACATGCAATCAAGGGTTTGATGGTAGTAAAATAAAATAAATTTAAAACCTGTAACCATGCAGGAAATAAAACAACATAATTTCTCACTTGTCAGGATAAACCCTGGTCCCAGCAATCTTGCAGTGTCACACGAAGTGAAGAAAATATAATAATATAATTACTCGGGATAAAACAAATAGTTCTCCATTGTTTTATGCAAAGGACTAACACTTCTATTAATACAGGATAAATCTAGCAAATAACATAATGGATATCCCATACCTAAAAACCCACCAAGTGAGAACGACCCAAAACAATAATTAATAAACCTATTGTCTAAATAACTAATAATAATAGCTTAAATCCGAATGCGTACCGTTGCTATTTCCTAAGTGCTAGTTAGTAATATATATGTAGTTATATTCAGTACTGTTAATTTGATTTCTTTTGTGTTTCAGTCATGTGGTGGAGCAGCATGAATACACCAGCATTGGTGCAACTGAAATGATTCTGTCAAATGGCATGCGTGTTTGCTACAAATGCACAGACTTTTTTGAGGACCAGGTAATACTGAAATTGTACTTTGAGCTAATTTTTTTTTTTTTTCTTCTTGAAAGTTTATGTGGATGCAATTGATATAGAAGTCTAAATTTTATGTACTATCTAACACTTCAGCTGGTAAGAACTGAGGGAGTGAGAGTAATGTTAAGATGCAATTATATTTTACTGTTGGATACCTTATTGGAAGGGTATTAATTTACATTGACTTTCACAAATGATTGTTCTAAGGTTTTATGGCTGTTTACTGATTAAGTATAATTATACTTTTCATTATTTTCAGGATATATGTCTTCGAATTGACAACTTATAGTTCTATTAGGAACTATTTGCAATCTTTGTGTTAAATAGATTGCAGATACTTGCGAAGGCAAGTTTGTAGTTTTAACTACTTATTTCTATTCAACTGTAAGCACAAGACATTGGAGTTACCTCGATCTAAGAGTGCCACGAGGAAGCACACTATTATAGAAAAATGTGTTACCATTAATGATTAGCTGGCACCTTATGATGCCAAATCCATACCTATATGATATTTTGCAAGCAACTTATGATGCAAAGTGTTCTACCTATATAACATTTTCTCATCCCTTTTATTTTCTTTTATGTGAAAGATGAATTTGTGATTAAGATGACATCTGGTTGGACTAAGAGCTGTAAATTTTCCTTACATTTTATTAGTTTTGGTTTTCTGTGAAAAGAAATAAGTACTCTTTATTTTTGCATGAAATATCTGGGTCTTTTAATTCTGTAATGCTTCGTTCCACATTGGCTTGTTGGATAAAGATCAAAGAGTTGTGTGAAAAGATCAGAGTTGCGTTCTTCCAAAACGACGAGGATTTGGCCCCTTGAATTACAATATATAATAGCTTCATGTCAAAGAAGATTTAGTAAACTGCTTCTGTTGTTAGCAATTGGCCTGTTCTGTTCATGTCCAATTTCTAGTATCTAGAGTTGTGAAATAGTTTTTTTCCGCAAAATGAAATATTTCTTTGTAGTTGGCTGGAATAGTCATGTTAATTATGTTCCATTCTAGTTTTTATGTGCTTTTCCAACATTGATTGCTGTGACTTTAGTGAAATTGTTTCGTTATGGTTTTTGAAGTATCTTCACAAGAATTTTCATTATTAAAACAGTTGTTGAATTTTATTTCCATGTAAAAGCGAAATCTGGATATGATTCAATTTCCTTTGAAATGTTCATCAAGAATAATTTCATATTCCAGGCAAGTTGTAAACTGGAATGAGACTTAAAACGCCACTGGTAGTCTATAATGTTCAATATTAGTTGATACAAAGTCTAGCTTAATACTAACATTTGATTTTAAAGGTTTCATTCACAGGTTTCTCATATGGGGGCTTATCCGAACTCGAAGAATCTGAATATCTCTCGTGTTCAATGGGTTCTACTATTGCTGGTGAAATTGGAGTGTTTGGTCATAGACCTTCTGTTCTGTCAGATATGCTTGCTGGTAAAAGAGCTGAAGTAGGCACAAGCCTAGGAGCATATATGCGAAGCTTTTCTGGTGATTGCTCTCCTTCAGACTTGGAAACTGCATTGCAGGTTTGATTGATTACATAGTTATCATGTGACTTATCTCTATCGATTTTTCTAAAGGTTCCCATGTAGTGGGTGTAAGTAGTAGAATCAGACTCCTTGGCAGGATGGATTTTATAGGTCTGAGTTTCCTATTTCCTATAACGACTATTCTTCCTGCACCAAATTGGGGGAAGAAGCCACTTTATTTTTCTGTTCATGTAATCCATCCTATTTAAGTGCAGACATCTTTCAATTATTTGTCTTTTTATTCATAACTGTTTCAATTTTTGGCTTTCTTCTGTTTCTGTGCTAGAACTACTAGCTTCGATGTATATAAAGCTAAGGATTTTGAGTCCATGATCAATCCATTGAGTTGTTCAATTACGAACAATTTACAATTAATTTTAAACCGATGATCAATCCATTAAATTGTCTAATTAGGAGCAATCTACAATGGATTTGAATCCATCTCATTTGAGGCTGTGAATTGCTTTCCACAACCACCCTCAAATCCATAGTTTTATTCTATTTTTCTTGCACTTAACCACATAATGATTCATTCTTCCATTCTCTCTCCTTTTTTTTTCCTTTGGGAGGTGGGGGATGAATGGATGGACTGGTGATGGACAACTGCCCTACTACTCTCTATCACCCTTACTCAAATATAAAAGTTTCATAGTAACCATGCAGATTTATGTCAGAGTGCTGATGAGAATTTCTTTTTTTCACAACTATTTTCTTGACTCAATGTTATAGTTAGGCAGACTGGTTTTGATTGCGGTGGTTCCATGAGTGCACAGGCGGATTTACAAATTAATTTTGGAGGGGACTAATTTTTTAATAATATCACTTATTTAATGTACAAAAGATACAAAGTTGCATTATAAACGGGCTAAAAATATATAATAAAGTTCCATCACAAAATACATGACTTTCAAACTTCAGTATTATTAAGATTTTGTGCAGATCTCTTACAACTTACGGTCATTCATACAATTTTCCTTTCAATCATGCACATCTCACATGCTCTTCTATTTCAAATTTACCTCTTTTTCAAATTTTTACATAGTTTATACATTCAATTTAGTTGCATCCTAAAAATTACAAAAATAAATAAATAAATAAACAATAATATTAATAATAATATACAATAGAGTGAAAAGAATACATGCAAAAATATTATTATAGTTGAAAATAATTAGTAGATAGATAAATACACGATTAACAATAATTTTGGGAGCTAATGTTTAAATTACATTTGCTTAAAATATAATATGTTCTTTCCCAACAGTTGGTCTATCAACTCTTTGTGACAAATCTACAACCTGGAGAAGAAGACGTGAAAATAGTTATGCAAATGTCGGAGGAATCTATTCGTGCTCAAGAGAGAGATCCTTATACTGCATTTGCTAACCGTGTGAGGGAGATCAACTATGGAAATTCCTACTTTTTTAGGGTAAATTATCTATCCTTTGTTATTTACTTTTGTAAATATATATATATATATATATATATATATATATATATAGTTTGATAGTAATATGGGTATTTTTTCTTCAGCCCATTAAAATTAGTGACATACGGAAAGTTGATCCCTTCAAAGCTTGTGAGTATTTTAACAATTGCTTTAAGGATCCATCAACTTTTACTGTGGTCGTTGTTGGTAATATTGATCCTGCCACTGCTTGCCCTCTGATACTGAAGTATTTGGTAAGTGTTGTGGATTTTTCTAATAATTTCTTGGTGATGGATATGTCTTCTCTGTTATGAGTTTTCTAAGTACTTTATGCAGAGTGGGATCCCAAGACCTCCGAAGCCAATCCTGAATTTCAAACGTGACGAACTCAAAGGCTTACCATTTACTTTTCCGTCCACTGTAATTAGGTTGGTCAAGCATTGGTTACCCTTTGATTTCTTGACAGTTGGGGTGCTGCTTGATAAATAATCTCTTCGTCAGTTATGAGATAAAGCACATAAATTTGTATATGGAGTATTTCTTTTGTCTCTACTATGTACCGTTGGCTGGGGAATAATACCTATACATCCAGTCTACAAGTTTTTAAAAGTGATGTTAGTTCATGTGTGGAACCATTCATTTGCTGTACATGCACAAATATCCACCTCATCTCCAACATACGTGCTTACAGAGAAATTGTGAGGAGCCCCATGGTGCAAGCTCAGTGTTCGGTCCAATTATGCTTTCCGGTTGAGCTTAAGAATGAAAATATGGTAAACAATTACACCTTCACAAAAATGATTTAAATCTGCACTGGGAATGGGGATTTGTGTACTTTTCTTATGGGAACATTTTTAGGTGAGTAGGAATTTGGTATTTATACTGCTTTCTTCTATAGAGAAGATTATCGTCTTCTTAACCTTTATACTGCAGATGGAAGATGTTCACTTGACTGGATTAGTAAGCAAGCTTCTGGAAACAAAGATAGTACAAGTCCTCCGCTTTAAGCATGGACAGGTGCGCTCATGAAATCCTTGTGCTTTATCCTGGAATTAAAAAGTATGTCTGCTAATGTTTCTGAGGAACAATGTAATTTTTCCAGATTTACTCGGCTGGAGTTTCTGTGTTCCTTGGAGGTAATAGACCGTCAAGAGTCGGTAACATACGTGGCGACATAAGCATTAATTTTTCCTGTGATCCTGAAATTTCATCTACGCTGGTGAGTTTATTCTCTGTTCCACTCGTTTATTCCACTTAAATTTGTATATTACAATGCATCAGATGATACCAATTACATTTACAGGTCAATTTTGCCTTGGATGAGATCTTGCGTCTTCAAGAGGAAGGACCATCAGATGATGATGTTTCTACCATTCTTGAAATTGAGCAAAGGGCCCATGAAAATGGATTGCAGGTTCATTTGGCAAATGCACCCATAATTATAGTGATGTTATGGTTCTGTGGGGCAAAATGATCCATAAGATTTTTTATGCTTTTCTGTACCACTTAACTAAACTAGGGTATTTCAAAATGCATATATAATGGTCCATATGGAGTTTCTACTAAATGCCTCTCTTTGTGCTGAATGATGATTTTCGGCATTGTCCAGGAGAACTATTATTGGTTAGAGAGGATTTTGCGTAGCTACCAGTCGAGAATTTATTCTGGTGATGTTGGCGCTTCTTTCCAGGTTTGATATATTATTTCCTTTTTCAATATAAATAAAAATGCAACTGCCTTGATATGACTAGAAATGCCACTGCTTCTCCACATAATATATTATGAAAGATCTGTAGTTTCTTTTAAAATTTGTTTGCTGTTCTCTGTGCTTTTTTTTTTTTTGAGGTAACATTGGGGTATAATTTTTTATCATCTCTTACTAGGGTGTTGAAATTTCAATCCACTTGTTACTGGGTGGTGAAATTTCAACAATCATCGACATTTATGCATTTGAACTTCCTATAAAGAGTGGAACTTGTCTGGGTTATCTGGACAGCTACTCTAGATTGTGTAGTATTGAAATTTGAGTTTTCTCATTGTATACTCAAATTTGTTCAGCATTTATATTTGAACTTATGACATCATTAATTGCGCGTCTGCTGAATTCTGGATAAGAAGGCTTTTGTGAGTGATTTAATATCCTTGTACTCTAATAAGCTATTATAGTTCATGGATTATGATGTTATAATTTTACTTGAGCCATTTACTGTGCCCATTATTTACTCAAACAATGTTGTACTGAATAGTTCATTTTGATGTTTTTTACATCCACTTGTTCACACCTGCAAGTTTTAATGTATTGGCTACTTCCCTTGGGCTGATTCTTGGTCTTTTTCTCACTAATGTTTTTAACTCTGTCTCTTTTATCATGTTTATGACTGAAATTTATGATCCATATATGCTCTAATTGTGTTGCTAATCTTATGAGAAAGATTTAAATAAAATAACATTGAGTTACTCTGAAGCTGCTTCTGAATATTGTGCTATTAAATCATTTATTGCTCTCTATCTGTAAAGTAAGATATGCGTCGGTACAAAGTGGATAGTTATTGACTTTGGTTCGCAAAGTAAATTACAATTATTTTCTCTTCCGAACCACAGAAGACTCAACAGTCTTGATGTCAGCTTTTGCCAAGGTCAATTTGAGTAGGGTTGGAATTATTTTTTTTTTACGTTCATTCTGTGATTAACAACGTATTTGTGAATTCTTGCAGATTCAAGACGAGGGGCGTACCAGAGTGAGAAATTCCTTGACACCATTAACTGCTCAATCAGCACTACGGAGAATTATACCCTTTCCTTGCAAAGAGCAGTACACTGTCGTGATTTTAATGCCTCAATCATCCTGTTTTAAGAAACTTGAATCATTCATCAGCTCCAGAGAAGCTAAGGTCAGTGGTGACGTATGTTATCGGTTTGCTTCACTTAATTATATTACCACTTTTTTTTAGACATGTGATGGATTATACTAATTATATCCCCATATGCAATATTTATTATAACAGACAATTTCAAATTCCACAATTTTCATTGCGATTCACTTTCTCGCAGATTATGGTTGGTGCTGCTGGCTTTGCAGTTATGGTACTTAGTATGTGGAGATACAGTCAACGAAGATGAAAATCCTAGTGAAATAGTCGCACACTTTATACCTGGACTAAGATTACATAATTTGCAAAAGACGATTTTGATCGGATTTGTGCTTTATTGTGAGAGGTAAAATAGTTACCATGTTATTGAGAAAATGTGCAAACATTCTTATATCCATTCTTCGGTGGCCGACAAGGTATATGCTTTCTCTACAGCAACTCTAGAATTTGGGTTATGTATATTTTATTGATATACTTGAAGTACATGGAAAAAGTAGAAGAATTGTTACTTTGTTATAATTTTCATAAATGATGAGTTTCAAAGTAAATTAGAATGAGTGATACATGGACAGTTTATGGGCAAAGCCCAAGCACTGCACTATACTTACTCAGTTGCACAATGATGAATGGATATGCCACAACTCGCTCTAATAGGAAAGCATTATTGGATGATCAATGGGTAGTAAATTTCTGCACAACATGTATGTTGGTAGTTTAGGTAAGTGATTTTTGAAACCAAACAATGTACAGATTACACTAATTTAGAAAGATATTTGTATTCATGTACAGATTGAACTAACTTAGAAAGGTATTTGTGGATGAATGCAAACAATAAAGAGTTCACATGGGAAAAGCTATATATATGATATATTTAGGGCTGGTACTTTTTTTGGTGCAGCTTTTAAGTTATTTCTAAGTTGCATATGGCAAAAGCTATGTATATGATAGATAACAATTTTGTAAGATGTATTTGATCTTCTATAATTAGGTCAACAGCAATGATAGAAGTTCTTGTAATCACCACTAATACTCCTAGATACCATTATAAGCAAGTCTTTAATGATAGTACTTGTAATCACCACTAATACTCCTGGATACCATTATTTATTTCATGATCTCCTGATCTCCGTATCTATCATTGTTGGCTTCTTTTTGGATTTGGCAAGTTGGGTAAAAACCAAAACCAAACTGAGATTTCGATTACCAAAAGTTCGATAACCGACGACAAATCGTTTCGGTTTTGATTTTACATTTTGATGTTACCAAAATATTTGGTTGGGTACGGTAAACCTTAGTTAAATTCAGTTACTGTGCTTAAATTTGGCTACAGTAACATACGTAAAGTGGCAAAACACTTGTGGCAAGATGCTAAACATCAATTTTAAAATCAACAAATCTCACCCTTACACATCATTTATGTCATCCATTACGTCAACAAATTGTGTCAACATAGCATCATTTATAGGATCTACAAAGAGCAACCATTAAGGTTCATTACGCCTTCATACATTTCATCATTTCCTTGTATTTGCAAATCCATCTCAAATTTCAAATAGCAGATCATCACAAAAGTTAACGAGGAGGAAATCAAATAATTCTGAAATTTTTCATGAAAAATAACAAGAGAAATACACGCGAAAACAGGCGCCAAGGCACATATACTTTTCGAGACAACACTCGAACTATCCTAATAAGTGTAAAAGCTTTCTTCACCTTACAGAAGGTAGTAATACTAATATCTGGTACCAAGGTATAACAAGTATAAAGAACTCAAAGATCTGCTCTCCCAGGATATCTGGGGAAAGGAATGACATCCCTAATGTTATCGATACCCGTTGCAAAGAGGATCATACGCTCAAACCCAAGGCCAAAACCACTGTGTTTCACTGTTCCATAACTTCGGAGGTCAAGATACCACTGATATGGCTCAATAGGAAGACCCATCTCCAGTATCCTGAAGCAATTAACACATTTTCACCAGCTCTTCGTTAGATAATATATATACCAGACTTGTGGGGGGTCTATTTTTAACAGGGAACAAAGTAGTTAACTGAGTAAAATGTCATGGAACTTAAAAATAAAATAAAAATAAATAAATAAATAAATAAGATGTCATGGAACTTGTCTACCTTTGCTTCAGAACCTCATAATTCTCCTCTCTTTGGCTCCCACCTATAAGTTCTCCCACCTAAAAAAGAACAAAGTTAAATCATAGAATTATCCAAAACTTAAAGCTCCATGGGTGTGAGAGAGAGAATACCTTAGGTACAAGCACATCCATAGCAGCAACAGTTTTGTTATCTTCATTGACTTTCATATAGAAGGCTTTAATTGCTTTTGGATAGTTATAGACAATAACAGGTGCCTTGAATTTCTCTTCAGTCAAGTATCTGCATCATTAATTTTACATAAATCCAGTAAAGAACAGAAATGGTACAATTGTAAATCAAACAGAAAAAACTGATACTGAACAAGTTACCTTTCGTGTTCAGAAGCCAAATCAATTCCCCATTCCACTTTGTTTTCAAATTTCCTGACCTTAGCTGCTTCCTCAAGAATGGCAACTGCCTCGGTGTAAGTTATTCTGTGGAACTTGGATTTGGCAACCATTTCAAGTCTTTGGAGGGCAGTTTTGTCAATGAATTTGGTCATGAACTCCATATCATCATAGCAATGGTCAAGTAACCACTGACAGAGGAATCTCACGTATGCCTCAGCACAATTCATATCATCCTACAAAGGTTTTGCCCCATAATCTTAAAAAAATCATATAATACAAATAAAAGCAACAATAAACAGGAGCAGAAAGCTTCTCATACTAGCATAGTACAATTCGGGTTCAAATGAAAAACATAATAACATTTACTATGAAACCATCAGACATATCACAAAGAGTTCACAGCTAGCATACTTGTATATCAGCAAAAGCTAATTCAGGCTCCACCATCCAAAATTCAGCAAGATGTCTCGAAGTGTGGGAATTTTCTGCTCGAAATGTTGGCCCAAAGGTATACACACTACTGAGAGCACACGCATATGTTTCAACCTGCAACTGCCCTGATACGGTCAAAAATGCTTGCCTAGCGAAAAAGTCTTCTGCATAATCAATTTTCCCATCCTTCTTGGGAAGACCACCCCCAAATTTAAGTCTCTCAGCCAGCTTACGCCTCCCATCTAGCATCGTGAGGTTCTCTTTGGCCTTAGTGAGTTCAGAAACAGCAGCAACAATCTCTTGTTTGCTTGCCTTAGCAGACTTTAGCTGGGCAACTCTTTCTCCTTTCTCCTTGACAACAAGCTCTGCAGCCTCTATGTCAGTTTCAGAAGGAGGAGGATTCTCTTTCAGATCCTTCTCTATCTTCTCAGCTTCATTGATTATGGTTGTGACTTGAAACATCTCACCAGCGCCCTCACAATCACTGGTCGTAATAATTGGAGTATGGACATAAAGGAAACCATGCTTTTGGAAAAACGTGTGCGTTGCATATGCCAAAGCATTACGGATTCTAGCAACTGCAGAAATCTACATCAGCAAAAGAAAAATTTGAACTATGAGTGTATTTAGAGGAAGATAGCAATTTCAGGAATAAGTAAAAGCAGTGGAGCTTAGTTTACGATGGTCTAGTCTATGAAAATATGGTCCTACTTGTAGACCAACTTTGTAGATAAACAACAAAAAATATTCAAGACATTAAATGGTAAAAATAGAATCTATCATGTACAGCAGAAGTACCTGATGGTAAAGACGAGGCATACATCTAGATATGAGAACTATCTTATATGTTCACCAAGTCTAAAGATCGTGTGGGCACCATAACTATTTATTTACTTACTAGAACTGTGAGATTGTTAAGCAACAGTTTCCATCAGCCTAGCTTGGTGCAAAATATAACAGCCAATTAAAAGTAAATTTGAAGAAACAAGCGTTCACAACAGAAACCATAATCCAGATGTCTGTTACTAAGCATATGTAATCATATTTCGGTAAAATAAAAGATAGGAAAGTCAGGCATTTGGACAACACTTTTCAATCTTAAGCATCTGCAAAAGAGAATTAACCACATGCAGTTAAAAATAAGATTTGATTCATCTCACGGTGTGCGCTCAGGAAAAAAATAAGTTATATTTAATAGTAAACCTCGCATGAGAAAACCTAAATAGTTATACAATCGAAGTGGGAACTAGTATCCAGTTAAGACAATGGAAAAAAAATTAGAGTCAACTTCATTCGTTTCACCCTATTACCGTATCCACGCGTAAATCAAATGCATTATCTCACACACACACACACACACATCCGCATAGGAAAAGGGAGTAAGAGAGAAAGTCCTCACAGTGTTGGTTCTGGGGCGAAGGTGCACGACATCCCTGAGAAACTCGAGCGTCAATTTCGTCTTGGGCAACGGGTACTTGGCCGCATCCACAGTCCCGACATCAATGACCCTCTCCACCTCGAGCTCGATCCTCTGCTTGACCCCTTCCGGCGGTGACTTAAGCAGGCCCTCGACGTGCACGCAGGTTCCAGTGGCAACAACGTCGCTCAGCTTGTAGACCTCGGATTTGACAATCACCTGCAGGTTCCCCGGGCACGACCCGTCGTTGACCTCGAGAAATGCAAACCTGCCCTTGTCCGCCTCGCGCCCTGTCTTCACCCAACCGCCGATCCGGACCTTCTGACCGGCCAACCCGGCGCCCTTGTCGGGTCTGCTCAAAATGGATTGGATTGGGACACGCTGGGAGAACTCCGACTCCTTGATGGGGTCGCTCAGGGTGAGCCCGTCCAGCGCCGGCGGCGAGGAGTCCGACGACATTTTGTTCCGCCTCTGGGTTGGGGGCGTCGTTGGACGGTGGAGTTATTGAGACTAAACCCTAAAATGATTTTTGGAGAAATGACAGAGTTCTCCAATTAGCCCTATATGGACGTTGTTAGGTTCGGATTTTCCACCAATAGGATGTTGACACATGGAAGAACGGCTTAGAGCATTAGCAGAGTTCAATCACAAAAAAATATATGCCACCGGTTGTTTTAAATAGTTCAGCTATGTAGCTCACTATATAGTTTTCTTTTTCAGAAAAACGTGAGGCAACCTTATATATTTAGCGTTTATTCAGAAAAGGTTACGCAAAATGTTGAAAGGCACGCTTGCTTACGCTATTTCACGCTATTGTGTGCTACAGTTCGTTATATTTCTACAACGGCATTTGAACAATAAAAAATATTCCAAAACTCGTATTTTTTAGGGATCAAAGTCATATTTACAAATGACAACTAAAAACTAAAAATTATGATAATTAATTCAAATTAAAAGTTTGAAAATACAAAATCCTAAGTTGAATAGTGCAATATTTAGTTTTTTATTTTTGTTATATCATTTTATTTTTTGATATTTGACATTTAAATAAATAATAAAAAGTTTATATATAATGGTTAGAATTAAATTGTAGTTAAATAAAAAATAATAATTAAAATGCATATATGTAATATTATACTATGACTTACCTTATTATATTTTTTTTTGTTTGTTTTTACTTTTTAGTATATTTGATTTATTATTTAAATATTTTATATATTATGATATTTACATTAAACATTTGTGAGAAATAATCCTTATGATATCTATATCTATATATCTATAAAGAGGTTGATGGAAAAATCAATTATAGAAAGTTGTAAAAATTTAGTCAAATCTTTTGACTTACTACTTATGGAAATTTAATTCAAAATTCAAATGTTGCATATCATCACGCGCATGTGTGTGCTACACAAGGTTTGGAATAAACTACTTTCTCTTTTTTCGTATTTAATTTTTAGATCAGCTTCCGAAAATTCTGATTTGAACATTTTCAAAGATTTGGTTTATATATTAACCATACTTATCAAAACCAAATCTGAAAAATATCATATTTTCATTGAGTTAAAGAAAAAGCCACGTGTCAATTTAAAAAATAATCGATTTCATTATTTTCAAAAACTCTTTTAAATACTTTAACGATAATAATTATGTAAAACAGATCATTTTTTCTGTTAATTAAATTTAAGCAATTTTAAAGAGCGTAAGCAATTTTAAAGGCTTATATATATAACAATCTGAAGTGAATAAGATTTCACTCGGGCTCCTTCGACTCGGTCGGCCTCCATACCTGCAAGAATCCAACGCCGGGAGGGGTCCCGGCGTCGAGCCTCCGACGCTCAAGTCAGAATCACCTCAAGACTCCAAATCCAAAATGTATAGTAATGAATGTAGAGAGAATGAGAGAATGAGATACCTTAGCCCCTTTTATAGGGGGTGTGTATCTTATGGCCCAAGTTGGGCTTGACCAATAGCCTCATGCCACGTGTCCTAGCCATGTGTAGACTTATTCTTCAATATATTCTCTTTTTATCCATTAAAACCGGTCCAGTATAATATCCTATATCACAATCCATGTTTCTTTCCGATTACTTTAAAACTAAATTTACAAACATGTCATTTTTTTTTAAATAATCGATTTCATCATTTACAAAAATTCTTTTAAATATTTGATGATAAACAAGCAAATCAAATTATTAGTTGTACATCACACGTGCATATTAAATCATATATATATATATATTAGTACTTTTTGTAATAAATTTATACAAAAAGTATCAATTAAATATTTGAACAATTTAAAATTTTTCAATCTTAAACTAATTGATAAATAATTCAAAAATCTCAATTATATTTAAATATATATATATATATTTTTATTTATATTAAAAATATTTTTAAACGTAACAAAAATTTATTTAAACAATCATATCGATCTTGCCAGTTCAATCGGCTGGTTTTGACTGATTCGCTAGCAAACATTTTATTCAAGTAAACTGGACTGATTGATAAACTGATTCCCGGTCCATCCAGTCAGACTCTCCGGTCCAATTATGTTTTCAAAATAATGGGTAAATCATGATTACTATTTTAAATACAAACGTAATATTATTTCCTCGTGCATCGCACGGGCCACGTACTAGTTTACATTAAACGAGTTTGAGTATCCTATGAAGAATGGATTATCTATGGTCACAGTATCCTATGAAGAACGGATCATCTATAGTCATAACATTAAGTGGATTTTTTTTTTTTATTAATAAACGAACAAAAATGGGCCGAAGCTCGGAAAATGACTAGAGCACTTCCAATAAAGCCCAATGAGTTACGTGGTCAGAAGTCCAGCTCACTAAAAATCATATAAAACTCGAAAAAACAGCCCTAACCCTAGTTAGCACTCTTTCATCCGAAGCATTTCCCCTCCACCGGCCGCCGCAGAAGAAGCTCAAGCAGCTCGCGCAGTGAAGCCGACCAAAAATGGGTAATTTTATCTATGAATTTGTTCTTTTAGTCATTCATTAAACGGCCGGGCGTCAGCTATTGATTCTTAATGGAGAACTATTTTATTTTGCAGGTAAGGTACACGGATCCTTGGCTCGTGCTGGTAAGGTCAGAGGCCAGACGCCGAAGGTCGCCAAGCAGGACAAGAAGAAGAAGCCACGCGGCCGTGCGCACAAGCGTATGCAGTACAATCGTCGATTTGTCACCGCCGGTAACTCTCAATTCCCTCCACATCTTCTTTTTTCTTTTTGCTAATTTACGTCTCAGTTACTATTTTGAGAGTATACTGGGGTTTCTGATTCATAGATTATATTTTAGTAACTATTGGATGAATCATAAAATGCAGATATAGTTTTTTTTTTCTTCTTGATTCTTCATGTGGCTGCTTTCCATATACAGACCTTGTATATTGTTAGCATTTTTCTGTGAAATCTAATTAACTGGGAAAGATTGTTTCGTTTGAGGAGAAAATATCTTTACTTGGGTTTTGCTTGTGACTTGATATTTAGATAATTAGTATACTTTTTGGTTGATTATGATGAATAATATGTCGTTTCTTGCATTTCTAATTTTTCTGCAGTTGTCGGCTTCGGTAAGAAGAGAGGGCCGAACTCATCCGAGAAGTGAAGTGGGGGCAATGGGTTGTTTGGTTATGTCCTTCAGTTGTTTTCTATCTTGCTGTAGTATTTTTTGGTTGCTGGATATTTCAGGGTTTTGGCTGTTTCAAGACATTGTTACTGCACGATGTTGAGTATAATTTAGTTGAATTGATTTCGTGTTATATTATGAACCTGCATTTCAGTTTAATTGATAGACTGATAACTAGTGAAAAAACATGAGTTTAACTAATTACTATTTCTATTTTTGGGGGATGAAACATTATTTTTATGTCAATTTACTGTGGTCTTATTTTTGCATTCCCAATTGCAATGGGCTGTTCAGGTTCATCGGGTTTGTTAGCATTTCCAGGTCTCTATTCTGTGCTTCTTTTGGGTATTTGTGTGTATTTTAGGTCAGAGTGAGTTATAAGAACCTGTTGCTGACAGACCTTATAGGAAGTGATAATCCAACATAATTTGATTTCTTTTGATTTTCAAGTCTTATAAGTGATTGGATTCTGATGGTTTTGAGGAGTGGCTTTGAGGGGCAATTTGGTATTTGAAGGCGTGATAACTCTTGTATGCATTACATGAAGCTGAATTTGTGTGACTTTGTTAAAGTCACCAATGTAGGCATCAATGCAAGATATCAACTAAGGACTATGAGCTGAAAGTAAGAAGTAGAGTTCTTAAGACGCTATATCTACTTTTGAAGATGCAATGAGAATATGAGATGTTGCGGTTGAAATTAATAGAAATTGTGGGATTAAGGTCTTCATTTTATTTTACTTGTGATATTACTCTGAGTTTTTTCTTAAAAGTCTTCATGTTCTCATCTCTTTGATAGTATCATTTTTTTTTTAAATAAATGCGGTAATAAGCTTTTGAATTTAAAATTTTGAAAGTAAGATTGGCTGATAGTTGTTCTAGACTTCTAGGGCTTGCTTGTTTAAAAATATATTGGTATTTGATTCGTTTGTTTTGGTAATAATGGTTAATTATAAAAAAGTTTGTATTGTTAGTTATAAGTGGAATTTTGATTTTGTATTAAAATAATATTTAAAATAAAAAGATTAAAATTGATAACAATAGGAGATAGATGATTGGAAGTAATAGGTATTTAAAATTATGTGAGTAGATGAATAATGAATTAAATTTAATGTGATGTGTAAGAATGATTAATTGACATTATTTAATTATATTGATAATATTGAGGATAGTGGATTTGAGTTAAAGTTGAAGTTAAATTTTGAGTTAAGATTTGATATGTTTATTTATTTGTATATTTGTAAACAAACATACTTGATATTCCTAGTAACTTACTCTATGCCTCGGTTTTGGCACACAGGTTACCCATATTATATGTTTTGGGGTTCTTCTGTAGGTTGTTAAATGATGCATTATCTTGTTAATCTTATTTAACAATGAACAACAACCAATCCGATGATCAAGAAGGCTATGAGTGATAATAGATTCGGTCTATATATCAACTACAATTTGTATATGTAATTATGTGAAGTAGTAATTTTGATGTATTGTTTGATTTGTTTGATGTATATGTAATAAATTCGGATGATAATATGAATACTAGCTTCAAATATCGGAAAATTTGGTGGCTGTAACATATGATTATGTGACAGAACTGAAATATATGGGGTGTTTGAAGTTGGCATTTCATGTCGGACTGTCAAGATCGATTTGGTTTTGAAAGCAATGGGTAATCATGATTTATGTTACTTGTATATTTAATTTATAATACAATCGTAGTATTATTTTGGTTTCGAAAGCAATGGGTAATCATGATTTATGTTACTTATATATTTAATTTATAATACAATCGCAGTATTATTTTTCATATATCGCGCGTGTCACTTGCTAGTTACATATGAGGTGGCATCAATTGGTCAATTTGAACAAGTGCATGCTCTGTATAGAATACAAATCATTGTGTAAGGTGATTTCAATGGTACACGATTAACCCATCATATGTTTTAATATAAATAATACTTATTCTATAAAATGTTATAATTTTTCATGTTATTTAGAGTTTAATTTGAAATATACATATCCTTTAAAAAACATGATGGGTTAATTAATCATTAGGCATGCAACAACCCTTATGTTTAGAAAATACATATTTCACAATAAATATATAATTTCAATTTATATATTTTCTGAATAAAAACTGTATTTATATTTTGAACTATCATATTTACATTTATTTTTAGTAAACTATATTCTAATATAAAAATACATATATGTTGGAAATCTATAGGCATATGAATGTAGGTGATTCAATTGTTGAACGTCCTGCAGTCACGCAAAAATCATCACGTTTTAGAGGTGCAGCTTTGAACCCTTATTGCGGATAGATTTTATGATGCAAATACAGCTAAGACATGCAACCATTTTTCAGTTGAGGACTCCTTAAAACATTTTCAGCTAAGGACTACTAAACTCGTATTTGTTAGTGAAGGACTTTTTGTTTCTACTATAAATCATCATCCAACAAAAAAAAACTCTTAGCACTAAAAATTAAGAGGAAAGAAAAAAACAATAAAATTTGTCACTAAATTTAATTAGCATATCTTACTGTGAAGATGACTATTCTCGTTGGACTACCAAAGCTTGGTAATTAATTCTAAAATTTCTTCATCGTTTTTATTATTTTTATTTTTTTTTTATTTAAAAATGTTAGTCTTTTTTATATATATTTTGATTCGGTCGTATTATTATTACCATAAATTAATTAAAATGATAAATTGATTTTTCTTGTATTGATAAAACAGACATTCAAGTGGAAGCCATGAAAATTTCATCTGAGATCAATGGAGGATTTTTAGCCTATCAGAAGGAATCAAACGAGGGATTTGAAGCCCCTGATATTAATGCTTTTGGTCACTCATTCAGGTATTTTTTTAAAATTCAATTATAGTTTTTTTTTTTTTTTTCATTTTTTAAGTTTCATTACATTTATGTTATTATAGATTGCCTGAAATTGATTTAACTGGAAATACGTATAATTATTTTACAGGGACTACGATGCTGAAAGCTTAAGGCAGAAATCAGTGGAGGAATTCTACCGACTGAACCATATTAACCAAACATGCGACTTTGTAAGTATTGCAAAATCGATTGCTAACTAATAATAGTAAATTAGAGGTTGTAATTGGACAATTATCAATTAACTAATGAATTGTTTAATTAATTTGCAAATTCAGGTTAAGAAGATGAGGGAGAAATACTCAAAATTGGACAGAACAGAAATGAGCATTTGGGAATGTTGTGAGCTCCTAAATGAGGTTGTTGACGATAGTGACCCTGATTTGGATGAGCCCCAAATTCAGCACTTGCTTCAAACTGCTGAGGCCATCAGAAAAGATTACCCAAATGAGGATTGGCTCCATTTGACAGCTCTCATCCACGGTAAAAAAACACAAAACTAATCTGTAATTAGTTTATTAATTGCTAAATTTAGGAATTAAAAATAAAATTAATTTGGTGGTGATAATATTTTTGCATGTGTACTAATTAATTTAATGGGATGTAGATCTTGGGAAAGTGCTTCTCCTTCCTAGCTTTGGACAGCTGCCTCAATGGGCTGTTGTTGGTCAGTAATTTAGATAATCTATTCTTATTTAATATTTCAAATTTAATTTAATGCAAGAAGATATAAAAAAAATGTTTTACTAATTTATATTTTGATATAACAGGTGACACATACCCTCTTGGATGTGCATTTGATGAATCCATTGTTCATCACAAGGTAATTAATTATCCCAATCCTCAACTATATATACACAACTCTGAAAGTTCAATTTATTTGGTACTTGTTCACAATATTGATGCATATTAGATTCACTTTTTTCGTGTTGCAGTTCTTCGAAGACAATCTTGATCGTCACGACTCAAAGTACAACACTAAGAACGGAATTTACCAAGAAGGATGTGGCCTAGAGGATGTGTTCATGTCGTGGGGGCACGATGACTACATGTATTTGGTAATAAAATTTTGAATCTTCTTTTTTTTCTTGCCCTTATAATTTTCTTGGAGAAAATTAGCAATTAATTTTTTTTTATTTTTTTTGCTTTTGCGAATCTCGTTTGTGTATAGGTGGCTAAGGAAAACGGAACCACTTTGCCGTCTGCTGCATTATTCATAGTTCGATATCACTCATTCTATCGTAAGATTCCAAGTTCCGATAATATATATGACCACAAATAGCTCCTTTTGTAGCATATATATTGATCTTTTCATATGTACGATGTAGCATTGCACAAGGCTGGAGCTTATACGCACTTGATGAACGAGGAAGATAAAGAGAATCTGAAATGGCTTCACATATTCAAGTATAAATCATTCTTCTTTTAAATCAAAGTTAGCTAAGTTGTTAATAACATGATCAATAAGCAACAAAATTAAAATGCATATTGATATATAATTATGATTATTCACATTTGCAGCCAATATGACTTGTATAGCAAGAGCAAGGTTCGAGTTGATGTAGAGAAAGTCAAACCATACTACCTTTCTCTCATAGAGAAGGTGAAGTAATTAATATCAATTGACTTCTATTAGTTTATTTCATATATACCCCAAGCAATTATTTTCGTTTCTTTTCTTTTTTTGTTTGCTAACAAATTTAGAAATATTTCTTATTTTTTTTTTCAGTATTTTCCAGCGAAATTGAAGTGGTAGAAATATTTTGGCATATGATCAACATGAAGAGAATATTGTGAACATTGTAATTATGCTTCATGTGCTGTAAAAGGATGGTTGTGGTTGTCAAATTATAGATTAGATGTCTATGTATCAATGAATAATGAGAGAATATTCGTATTTCTTTTACTTATTCTAAATTTGGAGTTCAGTTTGGTGATGCAAGAATTAATATTCTTTTTGCAATGCTTTATTTTTTCATCAATTAATATTTTAGCGACTTCATTTTGTTGGTTCTTACCGTGTTGAGACTGAGACTCAGTGTCAAATATATAAATCATTTACTAAATTCTTGCTAAAAATTGTTGTTACTAAAATATTTCTATCCATGATTTTTTTAATAATAATCNTCCATATCTTATTTTCTTTTTTCGTGTGCAACGTTTTTAGTTTTATCTCAATCTACTTAATTACAAGTTTTGAAACAATAAATTGTAATAACTTCATCATTAAAATAAAATAATGGGTTTTTAGTTGAACCTAATTTTCCATTCCCATGTTTTAGTGTGGACATTAAAATAAAAATTAAAACAACGAAGCTCAGAACTAAAATCAATTTTGAGTTTTGACGATTCTTGTTCTTAATGGTTCATATCTTAGATTCTTTTTTATTTTTTTTCGTATAAAAATTATTTTAATCAAAATAAACACACAGATTTGGATTAACATTGTACTCATATTATGCCTATATCTTGTTAAACTATCATCAGTAACATGGATATTAAAATGGATGATGTTGAAGTTATCGAGGTCGTTGAGCAAATAATTAACACGATGAAAGTTTTGTTCATGTTTGGTTTCGTTTACGTTAAACTGTTTGGCCCAAAAATTGTTCCCGTAGGGGGTCTTACGATTAAATGCGGGTTTCGTTTAGTATGTCTAGGAGACTACCAAAGAAAATTGAACACACGGAAAAACTTATATGCGTTAGTGATAAAACATATGTGTCGAACAATTTTTTATGAAGTGGAATGCATTTGGTTGTTTATGTTATCTATCGGAGCACGTAGGAAAACTAGATAGATTCACAAATTTTCATGCTTTGTGACCTGATTTGGATGAATTTTAATTTACTCTTAATCCAAAAATAATTAGGATTGAAAGAACAATAAATATACTAGATATTTATGATATTTTTTAGAGCATTAATAATGTCTCATTTTTATTCTAAACGTGATTTATAAGACGGAAACGTTTTTCCTTAAACTTTCTTTTTTCTTCATCATTCTTTTAAAAATTATGAAAAAAATACTAACTTAAATTATAAGTAGATTTAAAAGTTAATAATTTTTTATTTATTATTAAGTTTTTATACATAATATATCAAATTAATAATATCGTGACGAACTTTGATTTAACACCTATATTGTACATACAAGATAAATAAATAAATAATTATATTTAAATGTATAATAAAAATTAAATTACCTATTAATATTAATTAGAAAATAAAATTATTTAAATCAAATTAGGAAAAAAGTTGTTAAATGAAATATTTTTTAAAAAATATTATACTACAAGATGATAAGCCTTATAAGTGATTAGATTCAATAGTATTTTAAAATTTAAACAATTTTTTTATGATTATTTAAATTTTTAATATTATTTTTTTAACAAATACCCGAGTAATACACTAGTATTGTAATAGTAATGAATTATAGTTGTGTAATATGTGAGGATGATTATTTAATTAGATTAATAGCATTGAAGAGAGTTTAACTGAATTAAATTTGAGTTGAAAATAAAGTGTAAAAAAATTATTCAGTAAGTCAAAATTGATTTTAATCTGTCTAAGTAAATGAAAATTAGAAAGAGGAGTAAATAATTTTAATTTTTAGAGTTGTTGTCATGTTGTGAAATTTAAAATAACTTAAATTGGGAGAGATGGTACAATAAATAAGGGCGTGATTATATATGAATTGAACTAATAAAAAACTAGTTTTTTCTTAACTATAGTTAATTATATGAATTCAACTAGTAAAAAACTAGTTTTTTCTTAACTATAGTTAATTATATGAATTCAACTAGTAAAAAATTAGTTTTTTCTTAACTATAGTTAATTATATGAATTCAACTAGTAAAAAACTAGTTTTTCTTAACTATAGTTAATTTTGAAAAAAGGTGGTATAGTTAGTTGTTAGTAGAAATAATATTTAAAATAAAATAATTAAAATTGATTTAATATAAAAGTAGGAGAAAATGATTGGAAGTGATGGTTAGTTAAAATTATGTGACTGAATGGATAGTGAATTAAAGTTGATGTGATGTGTAAGAATGATTGTTTGATATTATTTAATTATATTAACAATATTAAAAATAATGGAGTAGAGTTAAATTTGAATTTTGNGGATTATTCAGGAGGGGAAAGGGAGGGAAAATAGTAAACCTTGTTTGGTTCAAAAATTAAAGGAAGAGAAAATAAAATTAAAATGACAAACTTACCCTTAATGAAATAAGATAAAAAATAAAAAACAATTGAAAGTAGGGACTAAATAGTATTTTCACACCATCTTAACACATTTTCCTTCCAAATCCCCCCAATTTTGGAGGGGAGGTAAAGTGAGGGGGGAGGAATTTAAAATTTTCCTCTCCCTCCCCTTCTAATTTTTCAACCAAACAAGAGAAAACTAAAATTTTCCATCCCCTCCCCTCCCCTCCAAATCCCTAAGTAAACATTTTCGGGCTCGAAAAATAGGAAAAATTTGAAAAGGTAAAGAGATGGCGACAGACTAATACCACGCTTGGATGAAAATGAAAGCCGGAGGAAATTCCCGAATTCCTCGCGTTCTCAACAGTCTCCACCTGTTTTCCCTCATGCGCGCATACATGCTGCAGATCCCCACGCGTACAACTCACGCACCCATTCTTCCTATTCTCTCCCAAATTTCTCTGAATCCTCTGATGAATCATCTTCCATGGCCGCCCCACCCCCCCTTCTCCTCTCCTCCTCGCTTGTCCTCCTCCTCCTAGCCGGTCCGAATCTCGGGTCCCTCGAGGACTTCTCCATTTTGGGGCCGGGCCGCCTGGCGCTGGAGCTTCTCCGAGCGAACTACTCGTCGCCGGGCCCCTCCCTTCCTCCCACGCCGTCGAAACCGCCGCCCCTCACCTGCGAGGACCTGAAGGGCATCGGGTCGCTCGACACCACCTGCGAGCTCAGCTACAGCTTGAATTTCACCGGCAACGTCCGTGTCAAGGGTCGGGGCAACCTGTTCATCCTCCAGGGGGTGTCCCTCACCTGCCCGGAATTCGGCTGCTTGGTTTATATGAACGTGACCGGCGAATTCAGGCTGCACCCCTTTGCAGAGATTGTGGCCAGCACCGTCCGCATAGCTGCCGGAAACGCAACCCTGTTTGGGAACTCGGTGATTAATGTGACCGCAAGGGCTGGCGACCCGCCGGAGACGAAGGGAACGCCGGACGATGTTCAGGGCAGTGGTGGGGGACACGGTGGCAGGGGGGCCAGCTGCTTGATGGACAATATGAAGCTTCCAGAGGATGTTTGGGGTGGGGACGCGTATTCCTGGGAAAATCTGGACAAGCCATGGAGCTATGGTAGTAAAGGAGGGACAACTAATAGAGAGGAGGATTATGGAGGGAGAGGGGGTGGGAGAATCTGGTTGGAGGCTAAGGATACTGCAGATGTTAGCGGGCTGCTTCTCGCGGATGGTGGTGATGGTGGAATCAAAGGCGGGGGAGGGTCTGGCGGCAGTGTTTACATCAAGTCACGAAAAATGTAAAGTATTTAACGTTTCACTTCAAGCTCCTTTCTCTTTTCGTGCAGTTTTATTTTTTGGAAATTGTCATTGATTGTTGCGTAGTGTAGTGTATATACTATAACTTTAGCTAGCTAATTTAAGAGATTTTAGGGGAGGACATGTTGTAGCAATACTTTGTTATTAAATTTATTAGCTCTTCTAATGGTTAGGCTATGGATTAAGTGAATGATCCTTCACTTGGTTTCTGGTAAGAATCTCTGTCGCCTGTAGATCCTCTGGAGCAATGGAATTCTAATCTGAGGATGAACTCAGATGGATGTTTCAGGTGGCTTGTGACCTGGATTTCTTGTTATTTTTGATAAGTCGGACTTTACCGTTGAATCGAGATTCTCTTCATGTGCTTCTTTCTTAAAACATTTCTTTCAATATACATTTGCAGCATTGCACATCACATTCACAACAATGTTGTTGTTCCTTTATTTCCCGGACTAAGAAACAAAATAAGCTTCCTTTGGCTCAGTTTATAATTACATCCCTGGTATTCTCACCTTAGTGAAATTTCCAGTCCTAGCAATTAATGATTGGTTGATTCTATATAGAGCTCTCTTATTTTATACATTATTTCTGCTTAGACAGAAAAGTGAGTATGCTGGATTTATTTTCTGATAGAAGTAGAATTGAAATGAATAAGATTGAAAAGAAATCAATTGAGAGTGAGTGATAATTTGTAGGATTTTGGAGATTTACAGAGTCACAAACAGAAAGTAGTAGGAATCAATTAAAGAATGCTTGAGTTTAGGGATCTTGGCAGATTGTAATAAATGCATTTGATATCATGTTTTAATTCCTTATTGCCTTTTATATTTGTATGACCTAAAACTTGTGGATGACAGTCCATAACAATGGTTAACAGTGATTCAATTGGAATAGGTTTGCCTACTGAGTACTGGCCATATTTATTCTTAATGGGCAGTATTTCTTTGTGTTTCTATTTCTTCAGAAGTAACCATCCATATTTCATTTGTAATCATTCCCGGAATCCATATTCTAATTCACAGAACAGTTGGTTAGCTAAGTTGTATTAAATTAATACGCATGGCGAGTTGGACCAGTTGTTGTAGATGACAAATGGACTGCCTATCATGTGCATGTGTAATTTGAGAGTAGTTTGTTTAGATGTGAGAGTTCATATTGATGTGTGATGGGAACGCGAGGAATTTTTGATAATTTTCAGGTTATGTATTTCTGATCACCAGATCCAGGACTTGTTTTTATAACCTGTTAAAAGAGAGATGGCTTAGCAAGTAGTTTGACAAAAAACTGTTGAAAGTGGAGAGATGAACAAGTATCCTTGTGTTTAAT